GGACCGCCAAAAATATTCAAGTTGAAATAGACTACTCATCAAAGCAATTTGAAGTTTTCTAATTTTGAAACCACTTCATAAAGGATTTTTTCTTCAATTTAGATAAAATTTATCTAAAATGTATTAACCTTCTATATATGCAATAAATTTCAAAATCTTCATTGTCATGAAAAAAAGTAGAATGACCACTTTTTAAAAACAAGAAATATGTTTTATCGTAAAAATTTTGCTAGCACTTCAAAAAAAATTTGGCGGAAATCGGGGAGCCCTTATTAATAAATATTACAGGGTTCCCACGGTCTGAAAAATTTTTTTAAGTGGTAGCAAAAGTGAGATATATCTAGATATTTCACGCTATCAATAAATATTTAATTTAAAGAGAATATATATGAGGGCAAAAATAACTTTCGTCATTCACAAATAAAAGATAAATTTCAGCCTTTTTCAGCAGTCTTGAAAAATCTTAGCTAAAACTCATTTATTTTTTCTAGATCGTGAGAACCCTGTATTAATGTAGACCTGAAAATTACCACTCACAAAAAGCGGAGCGAGATAAGCAATCAGCCAATATTTTTCTTCACAGTTGTATTTTTTTTTTTTTTTTTTTGAAAAATTGTTTAACAATAAAAATATATCAACGCAGAAAGACTAGAAAATAGAAGTTTCATTAAAATCTCCAATGTTCGAAATTTTGATTCATCAATTTGTGAGGGAAAGATTTTCGTAGAGCTTTTTAGCAATTCACCTACTTCGAAATTGTAATGTTTACATAAAATGCATTTTGCCTCCTCTAATATTTTTAAATAAAGTTCTTTAGAGTTAGTAGGTATATTTAATTAAATTTTATCACATTTTTATATTATGTTTATTGATGTATCAATTTTTTATAGTCGTAGATTATTTATAATATGAATTTTTTTAGAAAAAAAGTCTAATTTGATCCTAGTAAAAAAAAAGTTTTTAAAAAGTGGCTGTTAAATGAAAAGGACCTATCGATATTGGTCACCCACTCCTTAGGCTTAAGGAAAAAATGGCTACTAAGTTATTAGAGTTTACCGGGCACTGGCTTCTAATTGAAAGTTTAAATTTTCAGGTCTATTTAAATGTATATTTTACTACCACGTGAAAAATCTAACGTATAAAATAGAAAAATTGATGACTATGATTCATATTCTTTGCAAAGCATAATTATTAAATAATCTAAAATTAAGTATGATAACCGGAACTTTGGATATTTCTTTTTGATAGTTAGAATTTTTCTTATTCACTCGACTTGAACATAAATTTACATCTATTTTTTAATGAAGTTTCGTGAAGTTGTTACAATTTGGTAACGTTTGAAGTTTAAATCTACTCACTTTAAAATTTTTTTTTATGAAACAATAGTTGTATGAAACTAAAAAAAATTTGGTAAATATTAATAAATAAAAAAATTAAAATCTAAGCATATAATAACACAAATGCGAGATAGGAAGATAGCTTTTATTAATTTATATGTGAAACAACGGAAAATGTCTTTGGCATCCTTTGCAATAAGTAGGTCAATAAACCAGGAAATCTCATTTCCTGACGTTATTAATGAGTGAGTGAAATTATAAGACATGGCGAAATGTGGAAGCGAACAAAATAAATAAGTTCCCTGCATTATGAGTTTACGATTTGTATCTTATCATTTTTTTAAGCAAAAAACTATTTAAATTTTATTTTTTGCATGAAAAAAAATTCTAAGTTATTATATAGCATAATATTTTCATTTACAGTTAAAAGAATTCCAATTCTTTCTCATTTTAATTTGAAATTTATTCTTTTATATTTCATTGCTTACTGCATTCGAAGCTTTCATCATATTGATTTAAGATACGCCTACCACAGTGTATTAAAGATTCTATATATTTTTTGTGGATTTTTGAACCTGAAACCAGATGGAGCTGTAACCAAACTGTAATTTTTTGGAACTAAAGTAAGGAAAAGATAGCACCCAGTTATACATGATTAACTTTTTTTATTATTACACTTTTCCTATCGCTGCAATAAAAGAAAAACGTTTAAAAATTGGTTAAATACTCTGTAAAATTGCTGTTTTAGCAATAACTTGAAATATTTTACTACTAATTGCAATACTGAATATTCATCTCCTGAAACGTTTGATAAGTTATTTGTATTTATGAAAAAAGTGTTAGTGAAATTTAATTAAATTAAGTGGATATTTTATACGTTTCCCAGATAACAAAATAAGGTTTATTTTCACTCAGCAAAACCTTTTAAAGTAAACCTAAAAAGGTTTGTAATGCTGTTTACGTGGAAACCTTTTAACCTTAAAACGAGATCTGTGACAATCTGCTCTATTCTACGCTCAAAAACCTTTGATAAAAGCCTTCTATATAAGAACCTTAAATTGAGATTCACTTAGGGTTTTCAAGAGGGAAAAAAATCCTTTAATAAAGCTAGTTTCAAGGTGAAAATAATCTTAAAACTAGGTAATTATAACGTTTCTTTTCGCAACGTCTTGCATGCTCAGCAAAAATCCACTTTGTCATGAAATATTAATGGGCAATGCAATTCGATCCTATCGCTAGTGTGACGTCAGCTTAAACGTCATTATGGATCTAAGTGTAGGTGTGACTAAAGTAAAAACCTAAATCACAATAGTTTTTAAAAAAGCTTTAAAAAATAATTTTTAATCCTTTTAGGATGAAAGGTTTGAAACTGCAATATTTTTGCTTTATTGGAAAAAAGGTTTTTAGTACAAGCATTTTTGCTCAGCTAAAATCCACTTTGTCATGAAATATTAATGGACAATGCAATTTGATCCTATCACTAGTGTGACGTCAGCTTAAACGTCATTATGGACCTAAGTGTAGGTGTGACTAAAGTAAAAACATATATCACAATAGTTATTAAAAAAGCTTTAAAAAATAATTTTTAATCCTTTCAGGATGAAAGGTTTGAAACTGCAATATTTTTGCTTTATTGGAAAAAAGGTTTTTAGTACAAGCATTTTTGCGACAATAAAAAGAAAACTCCGACACAAGTGTGTCGTAAGGTTACATGCTTTCTGGGTTTAGGTACCAATTTGGTTTAAAGTATACTAAGGTTCAAATATCTTGCTTATCTCAATATGTTTACAATGATATAAATTAATACCGATTCTCACCTTTTTGAAAGAAGATCTTGTTGCAAAATGGAAGACAAGCATTTATATTCATGAAAAGAACAATCGGTAATTGGTTCTCGATGAATTTCATTATCAGACAAATGCGCGATAGTTTCAAACTAACTAGAAATTTAATTTATATCTACTTTATAATTGAAAATAAATATTGGTACATTACTATCAATAAGAAAATGAAATTATTCAGTTTCAATATAACTAGTGGCCTCGTTATAAGATATCGATATGCCACGAAAAAGAAAATTGAAAAAAAATTATAAAGGGGACGACAAATATGTATTTAAGTGAAGTTTCAGCTATAAATTCAGATTTAAAAATGCATTATATGAGAATATAAAATTTAATTAAATATAATTACCGCATATTTTTTCAAAAATGAATTTCACCTGTCGCTACTTTTTTTTCATAGTTCATACAAATCTTTAACTTGGTTTTTCGAAACTCTTTCGCCAGGGTAAATGAAAAAGAAACAGTTTTAGTGAACATAGTAATACCTAATAGTAAATATCTAAAACATTCTTAAACTTTTTTAAAAATCGCCAATTTGGCGCGACATTTTCCCACCTAGAAAAAAGTTATCAAAATCAAAGCCTTATTTCCATTTTTTGCAAATTTTAATGAGTCCAGATAATGAAGCATTGGAGTAAGTTTTTAATTATTGAAAATTTAGACAATAACGCTTTTCATTTTCTCAAAACCCCAGAATAAACATAGAAGGCGCTGGCTGAAGATAGGCTAAACTTAACCTAACATTCATGAGTAACTGTTGCAAACACAGATCAGTTACGAAAATATCATATTATTTTTAAAAAGCATCATTTCATGCGACTACAGAACCTTCGAAAAGGCAGACTTAAAAACGGCTTATGAACTAATCAAATGAAGGCTTTGTTTAAGATAATTTCTTAGTTTCTGCTTTTCCCGAATATTCAATAAAGCACTAATTTTTCAGTTAAATGTTTAGTGAATCAGATGGAACTACAGTAAATCTTGAATTGAAAACCGTTTAGTGTTTAGATACTTTATTAATTGCTGACTTTACTTGATTGTGCAAAATGATTGAACGTTTCAGCTGCACGTTAGGAAACTTAATAGAACTGTGGGGATTTAATATTAGACTATATCAACCTTCATCTATCCAAAAGTACCTCTTGATGGAATCAAGTTAACATGTCTTATATACTAGTGATTTGTTATTTAATATTTGTAGTGGTAGTTACGCCACAGAATTACAGTAAATCAACAAAAAAGAATCTTTAAAAAGCGTCTTATAAACTCTTGAATTGAAGACCTGGCTTGTGTTCAGGTACTTCCTTAATTGTTGAGTTTCACTTGATATTGTGAAACGAGTGAATGCTTCCGTTAAACTTTAAGGGAACGGCTCATGCAGCCACTAAATTCAGTTGGCGTAGAAAATCTTTTTTTTTGTTTGTTTGTCTATTTTTGGAACAATTGCTCATCATTTATTTAACTTCCAAGGATGTTTCCTTTTATTCTTGCAATCACCCCATTTTCTCCATTTAATAATTTTTTTCTAGGCGTGCGTCACACTGTCTGTCAATTTCGGAAATTTGCCAACAGACTAGTCTATTTGTTACTTTGAATTTTCTTAATTCGCTAGATACAACGCCCTCTATTCAAACCTCATGACGTCAGTTGGACCGATTTCAAAGAAATGAGAAGAAATTTTTTCTTCTGTTCATCGATAGTGTTTAGGTTTCCAATTTATTTTATTTTCAGTTTTGGTCTATTACACCATATCGAAAACAAACATTGAATTACATTAGCTTTAAATGTGTTATTAAAATAATACAGATATTCTACATAGTAAAAAGTAAACAGATTTTATTAACTGGCAAAACATTTTTCTTCTATATACAAGTTATGGATTAAGACATAGCTTTTGTACTTCATACAAAAATGTAACTAAATCTTTAATGGTTTTAAAAGAATAGATAGTTGTACACAATTTTTAGAATTACACATAAAATTTTTAAGTTTCGCACTTTTTATTGAAACTAATATTCCGCTATATTATTATAATTTTTGAAGCATAAGAATATTTTCAAAGAACCATTTCTGGTATCTTTTGTGCTGCATGAGTTATTTATATAAACAGAAAACCAAATATTAAATAATTGAAAAAGGAAAAGGAATATAAATATTTCTAACCTAAGACATAAGTTTTTTTTAAATATAAATTGTAAAGCGTTAAAAACTTAAGTTTTGTGTTTTGAGGGGCTTGGTGCAATAACCATAATAATAATAATTCATTTTATTTTATTGAATTTTTGAATATGGACAATATGGCTGTTTCTGTTTGTGCGAACACGAATGTAAAATCAGTCTTCTCTTATGTGATAATGGTAAATAGTATGAGGGAGAACTACGTATACTTAGTGATATTTTAAATTTCAATTGGCACAGCACCGACTATTTGTGAATCTGCACTTACAGTATTATTGCAACAAGTTCCTCAACTTTTTCATTCAATAAATAGTTTAATAAAAACAAGTGGCATGACAAACATTAAAAGAGCTCATTACAATATTCTCGTTGTTACCTTACAATTTAGAATTAAAAGATCAAATCTTTACAGGGATGCCAACTAACTCTGTTTCAACAAAATTTTTCATAAAACGATGAAGATTTCCACAAAGTTGGGCAAGTTGGCATCCTTGACATTGCTCTTTTGAATCTAGATATACTTACTTCAGTTATTGAAATACTGTGACTGTTAAAAATATAGTAAAATACATTTCCCTGTTGTTTACAGTAAAATTTTTCCAAGTGCTCAAGAACTCTAATGTAAATAAATTGTAAAGTAATATCTTGTTTTATAAGAATAGATTTCAGAAATGAAATTATTCTACTAATACTTTATGCCTGTTTGTTAAAAGCAGTTTTTTAAAAATCAAATCTTTCTTTCAATGTTAATGATTCCGTGTCAGTGGGGAAATGCGTGTAGAGATACTTTTTTTCTTTCATTTGCTTTATATAGTTTTCATCCTTATTTTCCTAAGTATGAAATGTTTCACCGGACCCCGAATTTTATACATTTATTTAAATGATTTATGAATTAAGAAACCTTGCATTTGAATAAATATTCAGTTTAGAAATAATTTCTTCAGGCCTGAATATTTGCACATTTAAAGTACACCCCTTTCAAAGTTTTTTGCCTTTAGATCAATTACTTAGTCGATGGAAATGCTTATCTCTTCCCTTAAATGGGGCCACTCCCTGGTAGGCTTACCAGCACTCTAGGAAAACTTGAAAACTGGAAGTAAAAAATGTAAAAGTACATTAGAAAATTGGTTGTTATGCCTTTCCAGTTTGTTATAGAAATTATTTCTTTAAATTTGAAAGGTACAGGGGAGAATTTTCGAATACCTTTTACTACCAGTTTTTGAGGTACGTTTCCCAGTACGTTGGTAAGCCTATGCCCGATGGGAGATGCCGTATTTGAAGCACGTGAACTAGACCATCCGGGAACGTATAAGGAAATTACATTACATTTTTATAAATGCACTGAAATGAGAATGATTTCTCTGTAGTAGAGGGTTGGACTTTGTACTCAGTATCATCATTTTTACATTATTCGGATTTTGTCCAGTCAGAGGCATTCGATGGCACCCACTGTGATCGTCCTTGACGCCAAGGATAGCCTCTGCAAGCTATTTGGCGATACTCTGCATGAAATCCTTGTGCAGAACCTTCGCTGTCAGTTTCTAGTTCGATAACAACTTCATTTGGTTCACCTATAGGAAAGTCTATTTTCTCTGAAATGAAATAGTCGGTACATTAGAAAAGTTTGGAAATTAAAATTGCTTAGTGGATAACAGGTTAAACCATTTCAGAAAAAAAAAGTTTTAGGCTGTATCAAAACATCAGCAGGCTGTTTATAAATACATGTTATATTTATTTAAAAATCACCTAACTTAATATTCAAAGTAAAGCTCTGACACAACAGCCAGGCTGAGTATGTTTAAAGCCGACGTTAAATATAAAATCCATACCGTCACTGTGACAGCTTAATATCTTAGCCACTGTGCCATCACAGGTATAATAAATAGGAAATATTCTATACTTCAATTTGAATATTGCATTCTATACTTCAATTTGAGTATGGTTCAAAAGCCGAGGCTGAAGATAAATCTCATACCGTTTTTATGACAAATCAGTGCCTTAGCCACTCTGCCATCGCAGCTATAATAAATATGAAATATTCCATACTTCAATTTAAATTTTGCATTCTATACTTCAATTTGAATATATTTATTTCAAAGCCGAGGCTGAAGATAAAACTCATGACGTCCTTATGACAGTTCAGTGTCTTAGGCACTCTGCCATCGCAGCTACGATAAATATGAAGTACTCTATGCTTCGATTTGAATATGGCATGTTTTTTTTTTCACTAGAGAAATCAAATACCACTTGGTAAATATTAAATTGATGGTATACTCAGAGGCTCCTAGCTCCGAGTCAACTGACCGAATCTGGGCGAAATTTTAAATAGAAGTTATGTAGTACATACAGTTAAAGGAAAAAAATAGTTTATAATTTCGCCAAATACCTGCCAACTTTTATTATTTTTTAAAATTTCGTTTTCTGCTTATAAATTTTCCATCAACTTACAATGACTTTAATAAAAATCCATGAATTGTATTAAATATAGTGTTAGTCAAAACTATTGTGACTGATAATCTTTGCCACCGCTTTTATTCGAAGCTTTTTCGTCAAGGAATATAAAAAAAAACCTAAGTTTAGGAAAAGCAAAACTATAATTTTAAACTATCTATGTCATCTCACCATAAAGAATTATCTAGGCTTAAGAAAAGACAAATAGCTTAAGTATTTTAAAAGTAATTTAACTTTCTCAAAACTTGCTAATTTGGTGAAATTTTCCTACCTTTATGAAAATTATCAAAATCGAATATTTATTATTTTTGGGCAAGTTTTTATGAGCTCAGATAATTCAGCATTGGAGTAAATTCGTAAATATTAAAAAATTAGACCACAAACGCTTTTCATTTTTTTCCAATACTCTGTTTTTTCTCCGTATGAACGTTTTATGTCATTTTCAGAGTAAACATAGAAGGAGCTAGAGTAACTGTAGCAAACCCACAGCAGTTAAGAAAATTGCGTATTATTTGAAAAAAAAAGCATTATTTCATGCGACGACAGAGCCTTTGAAAGACAGCATTAAACAATTGGTGCAAGTCTGACGAGCCAAGTCTGAGATGGAAAAAACGTCCGACTTATTTATGATATTGCATCCTTCAAAAAGAAAAGGTAAAGTAAGTTTCACTTACTCATTTTTCCTTTTAATGTGTCCCCGCAAAACCTTTCTCCAGACACTACAAGGGCATCTCCAGAGCAGCCTGGTGTCTCTTGAAGTTGAAAATCATGAAAGAATATCTCCAATCCACAGAAACTCTTGGCTCTTTGCAAATGAAACGTGCATTTTAGACCAGATGGATAATTGTCTGGATAATCAGGACTGATGACATGTCCCCGACTTTCTTTTAGGCAGTGATCGCACATTCGAGTGGGGGGAGTGACTACGAAAATAAATTGTATTAGTTTATGTATCATTGCAATATATATATTGTATTGGTAACATCCTTATTGCTATTTATAAAAGGGGAACTCTGCTAGATGTTTACATCAGCCGTTCCCAATTTTTTTTTTCTGTTACGGAATCCTAAATAATCAACCTTTTTCGGTGGAACCCCTCCTTTATAAATAAAGATTATTAAGGTAATTGTGAACGTTATAATCTATAGAAGAACAGGTTTTAAGCATTTAATTAGAGGCATGAGGATTTTTAATTGTTTTATTATAAATAAATTTAAATTATGTTTTATGTCTGATTATTGAATTTGCAGTCCCTACATCTAGTCTAGTTAGGAATTTGCGTTTGGAATGTTACCGGAAAAGTATGAAATCCGGCATTGTATAGAATGCCTAAAACTAGCCGGCAAAGTATTAAATGATTTATATTTCACACATTGCCTAGGCATTCTATAGAATGCCGAATGCTATTTAGGCAAAGTATGAAATAAACGTCTTGATGAGGTTATTATGTAAATGATGTGCATGTTACTGTGAATGACCGAAATCGATGGTTGTTGACTTTCACCGGTGAATGTTGACAATCACATAGTCGCTTTGGTGAATGTCCGAAATATTTATTACATCCGATTTGATATTAATTCATTCGTGGATATAATTACATTTATTCGATATTTTAATACTAACTGACGATAGATTAGAAGAAACATCAGTGTTTGGAGTATTAGGCAAATATATACCGGGCAATGATACTTGACCTTAAAAAAATTTCAGTGTAGGGTATACCGGGCATTGGCCCTTGACCTTAAAAAACCATTGCCCGGTATACCCTACACTGATGTTTTTTTAAGGTCAAGGGCCACTGCCCGGATGTCTGTCTAGCGGATCAAGGGCCGCTAGACAGATATACTTTAGTTCTTCAAGATGAAAGCAGAACAGAGTAATCGTGCCACAAGATTTTATATTTTTGGAAAAAGGAACTAGCAAATATTCATTACAATTTATATTTTTGTTCGCTATTGAACAATTTAAAAATTAGATTATTTCTTGTCATTTTAAAAATTATCTGTAACAATTGGAAGTGGTAGACGAAATGAGAAACTATCCAGCATTTTTCACCTCTTCTTATTTTTTTATGATTCTGTTTTGGGACAATCATTAGTTAGTAAGCTCTTTCCGTGTTTTGCCAAAAGCTTGATGTATTGATGGATGTACAAACTTGATGTATTGTCCATAACTCTAGATGAATGTCTTTTTAATGACCGTCGTTGAACAGTCAACCCAGATTTGAGTTTACAACTACCAATGTTAACTCCGTAGCATTGAAATTTCAAACCTAACCTAGAAGACAAAGGAATTTCCGGATCTAGCTCTGGGACAAACTATCCCACATTTGCTTTACATGGAGAGGAAAACCACAAAAGCCTTCCTGACAGCAATGGGACTCTAACACATGATCCGTTTACCAATGAGAATATTTTATGTCAGCACAGTGGTAGGTGCGAGTCGGGTGCGTAATTCCTATCAACCAGCCATTGCTAGGATTCTAACCCGGGCTACCTCATTGGGGGGCGAGCGCTTTATCACCTGTGTCACCATGGCTAACCCTAGATATATTGTTATGATGCCCTTCTCTGACTTGAGCTATCGGTTTTTCAACTTGATGATAGCTTATAAGCCATACTTTGCAATGAGCAAACAAAGTCTGCATTATATGCAACAGCATGAGCTATCGGTTTTTCAACTTGATGATAGCTTATAAGCCATACTTTGCAATGAGCAAACAAAGTCTGCATTATATGCAACAGCAAAAAAATCAAATTAATCATAGATTTACAATTCGCCCTTCTATTTAACTCAAGGTTACCACTTTAAAATTCTTCTTCAATAGAATGAGTTTTAATAAGCAGTTTGATTTACGTGTGATATCATCTTTTTATTTGTTTTAGCTGAGAAGCACTTGTTATTGACAGCTGTAGAATCACAGGTATGCAATGCAAATTCATTAGTCTAAAGAAAGCATTTCTAATGGACAATTTATAAGTTTGGAAAGATGACAGAATAAAAGAGTCATTGAGTCATTTTCTAAAATTTTTTAACTTTCGATTGTTGTTTATTCACATTTAACTAAATAATTTACTTGAAATTAGCTATAGAGGCCAATTAGCTTTGCTTTCTGGGAAATGTTTTTAGTAATAGCGGAATTTAACTATATTATTTTAAAATAAAATCTTTTAACGTGAAGTTATTTTGCTCCTCACTACACATTCTGGATGAAACTGTTTTAGAGTTTACTTGGAAATATACAGTGTTCGAGTGTATATTTCAAAGTAGATGCTGATTATAAAAATAACTCCAGTTCACCCTCTCCAAAAATAGTTTTTAAAATCAAAAAAAGTTTAGATAATAAGCTAAATTAATTTCTTTTAATAAACTAATCTCAATCCAAAAAATATCCTAACATTTAATTGCTAAAAAATGATTCTATAAAGGGTTTTAAAAACACATTTAACAAATTGTGTTTCTCTCAATTTTATTTTATTTTGTAACCGCCCTTGAGCAGCTGACCCAAATTTAAGTTTATGACAACCAATGTTCAACTCCGTATCCTTCATGTTTGAACCCAATCCAGAAGACAAGGGAACTACTGGATCAGGTATTGGGAGAAATTTGCCTTCGTGGAGAACTTTTTGATGGAACTAAGTCTCATTTCACGGAGAGGAAAATCATACAAATCTCTAATGCTTAGCATAACGGTAAGGAGACTCTAACCCATGATCCGCGTGCCACGGAGGATATTTGATGTGCAGCACTGTGGTCGGTGCAAGCCCAGTGCGGAATTCGACTATCCTTCGCTGGGATTCGAGCCCGGGCACCTCATTGGGATGTTTGTCTCAATTGTAAAAATAAAAGGTGGAGTCAAACTAAACAAAAGCTTACAAAGAAATTTCTCCAGTGAACGAAAATGTGTGTAATGTTTCGAGCTGCTTTAGTACGAGGTCAAAACTATTACATAAAAAAACTATATGAAATCACGAGGATATTCCAATGACTCCCAACTATAAAAATGCTTCATAAAATTGGATTCATAATATTTTTCACGAAACACAGATTAAAGAATCACTGAATCTCTAAATAAACAAGTATGTGCAAACCCAAGAGCAGGTGTTAAAGCAGTAATAAAATCAACTGCGCCATAGACGGTAAATAGTCTGATAATATTATGATCAAATAATGGGAATAGGACTTAATGTGTTGGCATTAAACATTTACAGCTTGCACGAAATATTTTATCTAAATGACGTTACTTAAATGTTTGTATTGGAGAAATTTTTGTTTACTGGAGCAAAGTTTGCAAACTGTTTACAAACTTTAAAAATTATAGTAAACTTTATACATAGCTTTATTAAACTCTATGCTTTTATTAAACTTTATACATAGCTTTATTAAACTTTCGAAGCTCTATTAAACTTTTTGTTTCGTAAGCATGCAAAATTATATGATTAAAAAATAAAAATTATTAAAAATGTTTTGTCTTGATAAATGTTTGTATATGATAAGTATTTGTTTACCGGATCAAAGTTTGTAAATTGTTTACAAACTTTGAAGCTTACATTAAACTTTATACTTAGCTTTATAAAGTTTTTAGGCTTTATTATACTAATTACTTCGTAAGCAAGGAAAGTTATATGATAAAAAAACTATCTAAAATGGTTAGTCTCGATGAATGTTTGCATTGGAGAAGTCTGTATTTACCGGAGCAAAGTTTGCAAATTGTTAATGAATTTTGAACTTTATACTCATATTTATAAAGTTATTAAAGCTTTATTAACCTATTTACCTCGTAAGCAAGCAAAACTACATGATAAAAAAATAAAATTATTAAAAATGTTTATAGTCTCGATATGGCTCTTTCATTGTAGGCAGAGCCGGATTATACCTTTCGTAGGCCCTAGGCACAGAGCCGGATTATACCTTTCGTAGGCCCTAGGTATAGCCGTTTTTGGGCCCTCCCCTCCTTCCCCCACTCCTCCCCTCTTTTCAAAATATATGCTAAAATTTTCTTGCATATTTTTTTTTACATTTTTATTAATATGGATTTTAATTTACGAATTTGTTTATTGAACTTTATCTGCAATACCGACATACTGCCGATATTGCAGTTGATATCGATAATACCATTATGATTAGTTCGATCGATAACTATGTAAACACTTCGCGTCAACAATACAACAACAAACCAGCAAAGAAAACAGTGAAATTGATACTGAGATTAATTACAAGAAATATTTATACAGTAGAGAACCAATTATCTGGGATGCTCGGGACCATCGCTATCCCGGATGTCTGAATTTCCCAGTTTTCTGGATCGACCAAAAAGTGTCATTAATCGATGTTTTATCGAACCCGAATTACACAAAAATTTGTCAAAATCTGAGGTTAAACTAAAAGCGCAAAATTTGGTGAAAATTTACTCATCCGATTTAGAGAAAAACTTTGTAGATGAATTTTTACTATTTTCAAATTTATATGAACATAAATCTGCACAAGAAATGTTGAAGACTCAAATTAAAGATAAACTTGTGAATACTTTTCCTAACGTTCACATTGCATTAAGAATATATTTGTCGATTCTTGGATCAAATGCAGAAGGAGAAAGATCTTTGTCCAGATTAAAATTGATAAAAAATTATTTGCGTTCAACAATGAATCAAGATCGTTTGGCATCGCTCGCACTTATGTCTATTGAATACGACATTTTGCGTAGTTTGGAATTCGACATCATAATACAAGATTTCGTTGAATCCAAAAATCGCAAAAAAGTAATATATTAGATCATAAGATTCTGCAAAATAATTTATTACCGAAAAATATTATATTTTTATTTGTATCTTCATAATTTTGTGCAAAATACACTTTGTGTTTTTAAAGCTAAATTATTTTTGTCAAAATTTTTTTTTCTCCCAAGTTTTTCGTAGGCCCCTGAATTTCGTAGGCCCTAGGCACGTGCCTAGTGTCCCTATAGGTTAATCCGGCCCTGATTGTAGGCAATTTCATTCATAGTAGATCAGGCTGTGGCTGATTTTTATCTTATGTAATAACTGGCGTTGAACGGTCTACCCATGTATGAGCTTATAACGAACAATGTTCAACTTCACAGCTTTGTAAATTTGAACCGAACCTAGAACACAAGGGGGTGCCTTGTTAAATCATAGGGCCAAACTAGTCTTCGTGGAAGAATTTTGATGGAACTAACCCTCATTTGCGTACTAGAGAGTAAAAGCCACTAAGACCTTCCACGGTTAGCCTCCTCAGCAAGGGGACTCTAACCCATGATCCCACTACCATTGAGGATATTTTACGTCAACACTGGAGTCAGGAGTCGAATTTGACCAGTCCTCGAACAATTTCCGAACTACTCCATAAAGTATACTAAATACTCTATAGGTAGCGTCTCCTGCCAATAATCCTGCCAAAAATAATTACAAAATAATAGAAGAGCTACAATGGCGCACCAATCACCCCTAAATCTGAGAAATAAAAATTATATGATTTGTGAATGTAGTTGCATAAACCTAAAAATTGAGACGCGTTAAAATTTAGTGTAGAAGGAATTAGTGAAAAGGGTATAATATAGATTCTTGATGACAATTAGAAGAAATAAAAGCTTAGACATAATTTCTTAAGACGTATTGAATTAAAATTTGAGTGGTCACTAACTAATTTATTTGCAATTCCAATTGAAAGTATGCTAACTTTTATACTTTTTGGAGGCTGACAGTAGCAATACAATGACTGTGAAGGGTGAATGGCAGTGTTGTCCAAAAATCAATTTTTAGAGAATAATTTCACTCATCTATTATTTTAAAGGAGAAAACTTCAAATGTGATATTACGTTTGTAAATTACCACCATTTTACAGAGCAATATACTCGAACATATGCAAAGTAACATTCCAAAATATTGAATGAAATTTAACCAAAATCATTATTAATAATTTTTTACACAATAAGATAGTTAGATCAATGTTTCTGAACAAACAAAACATGTTAATAAAATAAATTTGACTCAATTTTTGTGTTTTTTCCTACAATATTCTAGCTTTTTTGAAGTCCATGTCACCTTCTTGATGACTTGAAAAAGGGAATTTTGATAAAACTATCTTAAAAGGTTCACCGATTGCTTATTTTATAATAGATTTATTAGATGGCTGGTTAATATTTGTATGATTTATTTTATTTACCACAGCGTTATTTGGAACAAAAATCATAGAAGCGTGCTCAAAATTAGCGTGGATTAGCTATGTTAAGATTAAAGTGAAAGAAAATTGCTGTTTGTTTCATTAAACATACCCATATCGATGCAACCACTGTATGTTATTTTCTGTGATTCATGAATATTCCTAAAATCTCTCTCATTTACCATCAGCTATATTAAATTCAATCATTCATGTTTTGGAAATTTTAGACACTATAAAAATGTCCCTACTATATCGTGATCTACATTCTTTAAATCTAAGTGGCTACAGTAGTGATGTGGTAGAGTTACAGAATGGGCAGAATTATTTTGGTATTGGAATCTATGTGGTGCAGTTATAGAAGTGACCGTAGAAAATGATGTTTTGTAAAAGTGCAAGAACAGAGAAGTTTTATAAAATTATTTTTTGATGAGAAAGCCAATATCACAAAATGGACAAATTTTACTTAAAAAAAGCTAACAAATGTTATCTTCGAAAAATAATGAAAATGTTAGAATGGTTGCATATCTGGAGACTTAATTGCTTTAGTGAGAAGTTCACTCTCATTCAATATCTCGGCCTTGATTACGCAACAAAAATCTAGAACTTATAGAATTTCGAAACCAGATGCTTTGCGAAATAATATCCTAACTATCACCTGTGACTTGATCTCATTTCGAGTTTTTTTGCAAGTTTCCAAGAAAAAATGAATTAAAGTTTGTTATCTTAATCATGATAATAATGAAAAAAATATCTTTTTCCTTTCTTTACCTGGTTTCCACGTTGTGGCGCAGTCTGACCTTTGCTTGACCTTGATAGCAAACCCACTTTTTGATGTTCCTTTATCTGATTTAAAGGTGAACTGAATTTCTGGATTATCGAACGGAATAACACCTATTTGAAATACAACACGCAAATTAAAAGAATACATTAATTTCTATAAATAACTAAAAACGATCTCATAGTTGCCAACTTTAATTGCATCTATAAAATATTTAAAATGCAACACGCAAATTAAGCATAGATTAATTTTTATAAATAGTTAAAAATGATCACACAGTTGCCAACTAAGTGACATATTTCACTTTAATTGGATCGATAAAATATTTGAAATGCAACACGCAAATTTAGCATAGATTAATTTTTATAAATAGTTAAAAACCATCACATAGTGGCCAACTAAGTGACATATTTCACTTTAATTTTATCTATAAAATATTTGAAATGCAACACGCAAATTAAGCATACATTAATTTTTATGAATAGTTAAAAACAATCACATAGTTGCCAACTAAGTGACATATTTCACTTTAATTGGATCGATAAAATATTTGAAATGCAACACGCAAATTAAGCATTTATTAATTTTTATAAATAGTTAAAAACGATCACACAGTTGCCAACTAAGTGACAGATTTGACTTTAATTGTATCAATAAAATACTTGAAATGCAATACGCATAAATAAAATTTTATTTATTATCTGAAGAATTATAGACATTTTATGAAGTTTTTACTCACGTGTGAATCCTGAGGGAAGTTGCCCGCAAATGGATTTATGCCCAATATCTAGGTAATCGTAGCTACAATCAGGCCCTTTCTCAATGTCAAAGTGTGCAAATTTCAGCTCCAATCCACAGACTGAATCTGACGCTTTCTTGATGAGATAATCACAGTGGGCGTCGTGAGGATAATCGTTGGGAAATCCAGGGCTTTTTAGGGAAAATTCCTCACTCTCATACACCCCACCGCATTTGTCATCCACTTGCAACGTTATATCTAAAAATATAATTCAATTTATCAATCTGGTATAAAGATACAGTGCAGTCAAACCCAGATATTTAAATTTATGTTATTCATACAAGTTTCTCCAAGAGTCAATCCAAGTCAAAAGTTTTGATGGTTTTCCATTGATGGACCAACATAATTTTGATGATAACTATCAATTATATCATGAATCATCATATTTTTTGATGGTAACCATCACCTCAATGTAGGAATTCGGATTGATTTATGATTGACAATCCTAAGAATAGCAACTTGTTTTAATGGTTTGTTCGTGTTGAACCATCAGAAATTCCCATCATAGTTTCTTAGAAATCAAATGTTGTAGCGATCAGGAACCACCATCAACCCAATGTAGGAATTTGGACTGATTCCTGATAGACCAACATAAAAAAATCCAAATTGTTTTGATAATATGTTCCTGCTGAACCAACAAGAATTATTATTAAACCATCATGGAAATGCCTTGTTGTACCATCATGGACCATTTCGAATTTCCATCATAGTATCTTTGAAATCAGATGGTGAAACGATCACGAACAGCAATCATCTCAATGTAAAAATTCGGACTGATTTATGATGGTCCAACATTAAAAAAGCCAAATTGTTTTGATGGTTTATTCCTGAGAGCTGACAAGAATTCCCATTAAAACATCATAAAATGTATAGTTGGAACCATCAATGATCCATCATGGATGGATTGTTGGTTCATGAGAGTCAAACCTCTCTTGATGGTTAACCATCATGATATTAAAGTGGTATTTGCCATCAGGGAATGATGGAAGTTTGTTGGCATATCAAAAACCATGAACACATAATGGAAAATGTTGGATGATGGTAACCATCATATGAGGTTGTGCCATCATGAATCGTACTGAAACCAGCATTAATTATTGAAAAACTTTCCATCAAAATTTTTTATTAGTTTTGCTTACTTTAACTGCATAAACACACAATAAACAAAAATTATTTAGTTTACAAACTAATAAAAACTTAAAAAAATAATTTCCCCCCTCGAAAAACGTCTTTTAGGATCTCCAAGGCTGCCAACTTTCTACTCATTTAGGGAAAATTTTTTTAGAGGTAGTTAAGTTTATGTTTTAGTGTATGATTCTTTGACTCGTAAACTTGGTAAAAAATTATTTTCCACGCCACTATGGGGATTGGACAAAATGATGGAAACACTTGTATACTGACACATTTTTTGATATGTCTCAGAAAATACTTAGAGAATCATTTAATAAACTTCCAAGTGCTTAGATAATGTGATTTCTCATACTTATCAATGAAGTTCAAAGCTTTTAGAGGTTTGAGGGATTGACAACAAATTGCAAACGAAAAAATACTGTTTGTGAACAGACTATGCCAAAAAACGAAGCAATAAATTTGTTACTTGTAATAATTATTTTGGTTATTCTGTGCAATAATTGGACACGATTTCTTAAATCTAGCATAAATATTTATGGAAGTATGGACATTTTCATAAAAAAACTAATTTTTTTTTGCTAAAACTTTAAAAATATTCAAAAAAATTAAGCAAAATTTTTGGAACAAGTTCAAGTTAGTAACAAAATTATTGTTTCAAAATTTGAGAAAAATTTGTTTAAAACTGCGAAAGATATAAGTAATTAAAGTAGTTCTATTATACTGCGCATGTGCGAGAGAAAATAATATTTTTTTTTACTTAATTTTGTAATGAATAGTATTTGGTAACTAATGAAAAAAGTCCGATTTGAATATCTTAATTTAAAAAGTTTCAAGCAATTTTCGCACTCTTTAAAAGAACGTAAAAATGATAAGGGGTTTTCCACAAATTTTATTTTGTACTATTAAACAAAATTAATTAAAAATGGTACCGGCATTGTCGGTGATTATCCCCATAAATGAATATTTTCTTTAGCATGTTTTCTTTCTTTATACTATCATATTTCGGTGTATGTGCAGTATATAAGAAATACTGTAATTACTGCACATTTTTCAACGATTTTTTTCCAAATTTCGAAGTTGCTCTAACATTTTTGCTTAATTTCATTGAATATTCTTAAAATTATAGCAGAAGAACGTAAGACAAAAAATTAATTTTTATAAAAATGTCCCTATCTCCATAAATATTTAAACTAGGCTTACGAAATTTTGTGCAATTTTTGCATGTAGTAACTAAAATAATTGTTACAAGTTACAAACTTATTGCCACTTTTTTTGGCATGTGTATTCTAAAAAACTATTTTCCGTATGGAATTTATTGTCGGTCCCTCAAACCTGTAAGTATGAGAATTGATAAGTATGAGAAATCGCATGATTTAAACACTTCTGAAGTTAAAAAATAATTCTTTAAGTGTTTCTTGAGAAATATGAAAAACTGCATAGAAGTGTTTCCATAATTACCACAGTTCACATGGTTTTCTTTGAATAAATATTATTCTTCATGGTAAACTTAGTGAAGTTCCAAATTATGTGATAGTTTTAATTACATTAAATAGGACTATTTATATTTATATTAATGATATATTCAAGTGTGTTAACTAGGTCTATCAATAAAAGTTTTGAACTCAAGTGTTATCTAAACTTAACAATTTCATACTAAAAATAAATGTAATAGGTTAGAAAAGTTAATGAGCTGATAAAAGTGAGATTATCTGAACACTTAAATCTAGACATTTATCTAGAAGTAAGTGAATAATCTACTTAAATTAAAGGTCATAAGATTATCACATCTTTAAATAGATTTTTGTGCCTAAAAATAACTCGCAGCTTTCGGCTTAAGTGTTACAAATGTAAGTACCTTTCACCAAAGACATTTATTATAACAATAATAGAATTTGATATTTGATCTATTAACTAACGAGGATTTCTGATTTGTCAAAAAAAGAATAATAAAATTTTTAAACAATAATGTTTTTTAATACAAGCATAGAAATAGGCGAATCGTAGATTAGATTTGCAGGTTCGATCTTATTCTGAAATATCTTTTCTGTTTGAACCAGCTAATCTTTTTTAGGGTAGTAGTGTCATGCAAACTTATATTAAACCATTGATGCAAAAATCGCAATTATTTAAATAATATTTTGCATACTAGTACTAAAAAAATGTAAAAATCTCTGAATAATTACTCAAAAATTTATTCCTCATTCTAAATACCTTTAATTTCATAACGTTTGATAGTTCAATTGTATGAACTTAAAACAAACAATAATAAAAGATGTTACTTTTCATGGTGGATCCACATTCTTGTAATTGTCGAACTTGAATAGAAAATCCTGGTCGTTGAGTTGTTCCATCTGATTTGAAGGATAGTACTACTTCGTCTTCAGTAAAGAAGATGTTATCTGAAATTACATTTCAGGCAATAATAGATTTTAAAAAAAATTCATAATGCATTAAATTATTTTTGCATATATCTACACTTCATGAACATAGCATGTATGTCTAATCCTATAGAAGATTGCAGAATGTTTACTAACGCCATCGAATTTCGAATGGTGTAATCTAAGTAGTTTAGCGTGATTGATAAGTTAAATCAATGTTGAACATAGGTGAAAGTTTAACATTGACTTAACATCTAACCCCAGCTAGTTTTTTAATGGTGTAATGCCGGACCATACTTTCCAACAAATACGGAATTTCTATAGTTTTAGAAACATTTTTCCGAGTGTCGCCTTCTGAGAAAGACCATGAAGGGGAAGGGAATAGTGAGTTCTTCTTCTTCTTCTTAATCACCAAAATAAACGATGTCCATGAAATTCATGACCCGGAGGAATTCGGCCACCAAAAGTGGTTTTTTAAGTATGTCAGTCTTGTTCAGTCCATGACAGTTCAGGATATGTTGGGGAGAAGCCTGCATGTTGTGGCACCTGGGGCAGTTTGGGAAGATTTTAACATTACCCTCGAAAGAAAGAGACTTAAGGTGGTCTCTGGTAAGCCTGGTAAGCGCCGTCTGATCTTTGCGGTTGAACCGAATGTTGAGTGCACCTCCTGGACGGGTGCTTTGGTACCAGTGATGTTTGGAGGGTACAAGCCAGGAAACATTGTCTTCTTTTTTCTTTTTCGATGTCAGTTCCATGAAGGTGAGTGAATTTGGACTCATCAAAGCTTTTTCTGTCCCCTCCTTAGCCAGAGTGTTGGCGATATCATTGAACAGAACCCTAACGTGAGAAGGGATCCACTGGAGGTGGACTTCACGCAGTCGTGAGAGGGTTTTAAGTTTGTGCCGGATTGAAGCTCCTGTTTTGTCTCTCACCTTCCTCCAATGCGATAAGTACTGTATGGAACGATCTATGCGATAAGTACTGTATAGTGAGTAATTCCACACAATTATGAGTAACGTCTAACAAAGGTAAAGACTCATTTTCTTTCTTGCTCAAATTTAAACTGTATGGAAGTATCTGTAGAATTCATAATATTAAGTACGTAACCAAGGTCAAGGCTGTCCATTAATGTGAAACAATCGTAAATATACCACCTATCATATATGGCAACGTTACTTTTAAAAAGTAACGAGTAAAAGTACAAGTATTTTTAAAAAAAGTAACGAGTAAAAAGTAAAAAGTTCTTATTTTAAAAAGTAACGAGTAAAAAGTACAAGTAAAAGTACAAGTACTAAACAAAAAAAGTAACGATTTAAAAGTACATTTCTAGGAAATCGAAAATTCAAAGTAACCTAAAATTTTATTGAATAATATTCTTATGTTCTTTAATGTTTTTGCAAAATTGTTGTTATTTATTTAATTATTTTTAATTTTGAAAGTTATGGACATTAATTTATTTTTAAATTCGGAAGAATATTATAATATAATTTTATAATATAATCGTATAATATAATTTTAAAATCAAATATAATTTTAATATCAAACTTTTTATGGATTTGCACGAAAAAGAAATTTTATCTATTGATTTTAATTTTTAGTTTATTATTTTTATTTATTTAAATTACCATTGATTTAAAATTGTTTTACTCTATAGAAACGCGTTTTAAAAGCACAAACATAAACAAAGCAAACACGGGGTTTCAGATAGCTTTGTGATCTTTGAGCTAGTAAAAAATAATTGAATGTGCAGTATAAGTTGAAACAGAACAGTCTACAGTTTTATTTGTAACAATGGCTAATGCTGAAGTCATGCGAGAAAATCATTTTCCGAACATTTCTGCCTAACGGAATAATTAAAATTTGTAAACGAATTTTAGTATCAGCGGCTAAATTAATACCTTCGAGTTTTCAAGAGTTAAAATAGTAATTATAATAGTTTTCAATAGCACAAATAGTTCTGAAGTTCTTAGAGATTTGACTGGGCGTAGTTTGACAAGGTCGGGCATAAACATAATTTTAGTAAAAAACGTATTTAGTAAAAAATGTTTTAAAGACAAAAATGTATTAGTGAGTTCAAAAAGAAAATTGAAAAACGTAATAGCAAACTCCAACATTTTTTTTAAAAAATGTATTAAATAAATGCATAAAACTCGAAAATGAATGAAAATAACTTGCTAATTAATATTTTTATTCATTTTGCAAAAAGATTGCATTTCGAAAGTGGTGTCACTGAGTCTGCTGCGAGAATTTCACAGAACGTGCTTAGCCACGCTGAATAAGCACTCCACGGGAGGTCAAGGTATTTAAACACGAAGTTAGCTGTGAATGCATATATATTGCACATTAATTTTATAAATTAAAAAAAACATAGGCTTTTTTTTTTTGATTTAATTTTTTTTTCTCTTTTTTTTAGAAAGCTTACCGAGTTTTAGAAAAAAGTAACGATTTCATTCGACATTTCCGTTACAAATACTTGTACTTTTTCCCTAAAAAAGTAACGAAAGTACAAGTAAAAGTACTAAATTTAAAAAGTAACGAAGTACAAGTAAAAGTACGTACTTTTTACTTGTACCGGCGGTACAAGTAACGAAAGTAAAAGTACTGCCATATATGCCACCTATACGGTTGCGGGCACTGATAACTGACTGATTTTCTGTTTATATTTCTAATAGGGATATTCTATTTCATGTTTCCTTGTTCTAATTGTTTTTGTATTTCAAATGTTTTAATGTTTTTAATTTCTTTTTATTTGTTGTTATTCCTTATGGGTCTGTGCGGAGTGTTTTTATGCTCCAGCTAATGATGTACACATCAAGTGCTGCTGCTAGAAATAAAATAAAAAAATACCACCTATAAATGGGAAACTAACAAATCAAAGAGTTTTAATTCAAGGGGTTCAATTAAGGGGCTGGGTAGTGAAATTCTATCTGCCTGGATTTTGATCCTCTATTGCTAGAAAATAATTTTACAACTTTCATATTGTTTTTTTTTTTATCTTAATATGTTTTAAATAAACATCATAATTATATGTTTTTCATTATAAAATTCCCAAATTTACTTATATTTCAAAAACTAATAACTTTCTCATTAACAACTATAAGAGGTTTTTAATATTTTTTGTTATTCTCCACATAAGAATAAAAATTTCAGAATCACGTAATAGAAGCAATAAGCTAAGATCATTTATGTGTTAAATGATTTTTTTTATAGTACGCTGTGAATGAAGACAAGAAATAGCTTTCAAAATTGTTTTCAAAAATTGAACCATGAATGGACTGAGTATTTATTATTATGCTGAGAGAAAACACCATTTTTATTGAACAATGCTTGAAATATGCGTCACTGTCTGATTTCCAGAAGGCTCTGAACAAATATTTTTTGAACATAATGTTTGTTATTTAAGTGCGAAAATTGAAAAACAATGATAGGGGTGTGCGGATAAGTGTGACAGAAACTATCACGTTTTCTTAGATCGGTTAATAACAACGAATATATATACTATATATATATATATATACTCTCTATAAATGGGAAATTGATTATTGCTAAATTTAAAATAAATCACTTTGATTTAAAAAAGGACTTTGTTTAGGGATTAGAAAACCCTANTATTATATATATATATATATATATATATATATATATATAGCATAATAAGTAAATACAAGAAGAAAAGAAAGGAAGAAAACACAAAGAAAATTAGGAAAAACAATAAGCTTTATTTGCTGATCATGAGCTGCAAATAAATAGAACTCATTAAATGAGTTCAAAACGTAGAGAAAACATGGAGAAAATTACAGAACAATAAAAAAAAGCGGAAAAAGAAAAATAATAATAAAAATAACAAGAAACCGAAAAAAAGGGGAGAAAAAAATTTATAAAAAACTGGAAAATAAAAGAAATAATCTTATCATCAGCTCACACTCTCACAAAAAGCACTCCTTTTTGCGGATATAATCGTGTGAGCTGATGAAAAGATTTTATCTTTTATTTATCAGTTTTTTATAAATTTTTTTCTCCCCTTTTTTTCATTTTTTTTCTTTTTTTTCCGTTTCTTGTTATTTTTATTATTATTTTTCTTTTTCCCCCGTTTTTCATTGTTCTGTAATTTTCTCCATGTTATGTCATAAGCATTGTAAGCGCAAATGTACAGTGCGCAAAATGAAAAACGAGCCACCCTGAATAACTTTTGTTTTATACGAAATCAAACACAAAAACGTACTTTCTCTGAATAAACATACGTCTTTTTCGACATATTCGGATTTCTGACCCCGTGAAATATAAGGGGTACCCGTAATCTGAGAAATATGATCCCAATAGCTTGGTCAGGATATCGGTACAAAGTTCGGACCCATTAATGTTAATTTTACTTTTTCCGTATTTCACCATATCTCAAGAACTCTTTAGGCAAATTGAAAAATTCTTGCATACAGTTATAAAATTCGTTTATCCAAAGATAATTTTATGCAAAATATAAATATCTTTTTGGTAAATATATATTATTTTTTATAATTTTATTTAATAATAATCGATAATAGGTATACAAAATTGGTACTGAAAGGTATTGTAAGGTATACAAATTTTTACATCATTTTAAAGATTACAATTCAATTTTAAATGGAAAAATACAAAATTTGAGCGAAATCGGTCGAATAATAACTGAGAAATTGAATTTTAAATGCAAGGCATTTTTAAAATTTCATTTATCAGGTACTATTAGATCGCTTTCAATAAAATTTTGTTTTTTGCCATTTAAAATAGCATTTTTTAAAATTATGTAAAAATGTGTATGCATCAAAATTTTTTCTACTAAAGAAAATAATAAAAAATAAAAAATATTAACTAAAAGTTAAGCTTTGGAAGAAATTATCTTTGAATAAACGAATTGTATAATTGTGGTCAAAATTTTTTAAAAATTTGCTTTTAGAATTCTCGAGATAGGGTGAACTAAGCAAAAAGTAAAACTAACATTAAGTGGTCCAAACTTTGGATCACTGTCTGGATCAAACTAATGGGACAATATTTTTTAGATTGTGGCCATCCTCTATGTTTTAGAGATCGAAAATCCGAATCCGATGAAAAAAGATAATTTTTTTTCAGAGAAAGTACTTTTTTGTGTCTGATTTCGTTGCTAAAAATATCGTCTGCATTAATCAATTAGCATATTTGAGGTCATCCCTTCGAACCACTAAAATTGAGTCTTAGAACGTGATGATCCGATCATTAGATCAAATGTTATTTAGGGTGCTAAGTTTTTTATTTTGCGCACTGTACATGTTTACAAATTTCTGAATGAAAATTCTTTCCCCGCGTGGTCAACGAAAAGCTGAAAAAACAGAGCTATAAGTTGGAAAGAATAATTTAGAAATTAATAGTGAATATAATGTTCATATCAACTAAGTGTTCTGTATCATGTTTTAATTATACTTTTGCAGATTCAATAATTATGATTTTATTTTTATTATTATTTTATTATTCATTTTAATAATAATAGCTTTACAGTAATAGCTCAAAGTTCTGGAATTTATAATTGTATTGTGAATTTTTAATAATAATTGTTTTTTTTTAAAAACATCATTACTGTTTTCTATTGCATTATTGAAAAGTTTTTTAATTGCATGTCATTTATTTCAAAGCTTTTTTATTTTAATAATTTACCATGGACTAAAAATTTTAATTTTTTCAAGAGGAATAAGTTCTGAAGATTTTAATAATTGATTTAAATTCTTAAGATTTTACGCTAAAACACATTTCAAATGGGTTTAATTTAGTTGGAAGCGAAGCAAGCATTACTTGCAAAGTAAACCATAAGAGATTGCATAGCAATGTTCGGGGGATGGGGAGCGTCAGCAAACAGGGAGTGGAGCCCACTAGTTTTTCAATAATGGTTGCTAATTATTACTAAGAGCTGAACGAAAGATAAATTTTCATTCTTACCCTGTAAGGAACTACTTTATAATCTACTTATTAGCTATAATGTTAGCTTTTGCCCCAAATAATTCGCACCAATACTTTTTCATTACATTACATTTTAATACTTTTGCACCATTTGTTTGCTTTTGCGATATTTCACCAAATAAATCTTTCATTTAATTAAAGTGAGCCCTCACATTTTTAAAAGCAATTGTTATACTTCATTCTAAAATACTTACTGTTTTTTTTGCCCACTTATAAGAAAATTAAATGAAAACTATGCCGGTAGATTTCTGCTTTTTCTACTTATGTTGCGTGCAAAATATATTATAGTGATCTCTACAGATTTTTAATAATCCTAAACTAGGCAAAAGAAAAGCTTGGAAAATTATAATTTTAAAGGCGTAAAAGTTTTATATTTTAAATTTCTGAAACTTCATAATTAAATTAATGTTGCTTATTTTAATGGATATTAGTAAGCTCGATTAGAGCTAATAGGAAATTTAATTAAGAAAAATCCAAACTTCCTCTGTTTTATATAATAAAGAAGAAAAAATTAATCTTGTTTTATGTTTTATCCGATTGCTTATAGAAAAAATTCGGACGTCATTTAAAGTCATAACCATAAAAAATAGAAACAGTGACTCCAAGTCACGTTTTCACATTAGTACCATACAGTTAACATTGTTTTCCGATAGTGCGTGACAAGTTTGATATAAATATATCATTCCTATTTACAACACTGCTGTCCCGGAAAGGAATGCAAATAGCACAATGGTATTTTTATACACTTACATAGTAGTGATTAAATTTGCAGAAAATTATGACTTATAAACACTGAAAAATCAGTACCGAATGTTGCTTCTTTTGACTGAAATAGCAGTATTTATCCACCAGAACAAGTAGACATAACATGGCATTTTCGGAAACCTCTGTCATAGCCAATTTATGATTTCACCACTGTTTAATGACAGCAGTACTTGGTATGTGGTGGAGAGTCAGCTGCTCGTCAGCCATTAACTACACATTTTGAATTATTTGAAAATGATCAGAACGTGCTTACCACGATGACCGTGGGACATGTTTTGCATCAAGGAAGGAAGTATGCAATCGTGCATTATCCTGCTGATTATTAGAGAGGTTTCAGATGTAATGTATCACGTGGCGTTCAAAATGCCAGAAATGCAAACAGTGGGTGATCGACTCACGTATCCAATAGCACTGAATATACTCACTGAGGGTAATTGACCAGTATGACAATGTCGAATGCAAGTTGGCAACTTGCGTTCTCCATGATGCCGTCAAACATGGGGGCCATCATTTTTTTGTATACAGTCCCGACATTCGGCTGTAAAGATGACGTACCGCCATTCACGGGTCCAGGATGGTCATTCATCAGACCAATGAATGTGCTCCTGTGATTGATGCAGCGTTAAGAATAGTAGAAGCCTTTGTTGTCAAGCTTAGGGTCCATACTACTGCAAGCGTGGTCTAAGTGTTTAAACACAAACTTGTAACAGCAAACTGACTGAATTTGCATGCGCATGACTCGTAATGTTCTTTAGCGACCGCTTAAGGCGGATATCTGTCTTCTTGGCTGTCCTTAGTAGGGAGGGGGACGTGAAAATACAGTACGGCGTTCTATATGACTGTCCGGAACCAATCGATTCCATATTAAATGGATAGTTAAAGATCTCGGTTAACGCGAGTTGCAATAATGCTTTAGGATAAAACGCAACCTATGTAGGCTGTAATCTTTCCTTAATCAAAATCAGACGCGTACTGGTAGGCTTTTCTTCTTCTAACACGAGGCATTACAACAAAGTTTTAAGTAGAAAATAACGTTTCAAATAGAAGTTGAGTATGAGAAAATTGCTTTTGAACATCTGTTTTTTCATATATTGTAGCTGTCACAGCCATTGCCTGCTTTACATGAATGCACTGACAATCTAACCGTTAACATATCATGTCACGATTTATCTGTCATGCAAATTTCAAGAGTATGGCGTGCAATATTCCTGGTAGAGCACTCTTAACGACAAGTAGTGAATATTACGCTTTCGGAAACATACAGTGTAATATCATAATACTTTTAATGAAAAAAAAGGTTATTTTAACTAAAGATTATCCATTATTAGTCAAAAAAATCGAAACTATACCTGTATGATCTTTTGGTAGTTGACCGCAGAGTTTGAACCCGGCAGGCAATTCTAAATAATCTGCATCACATCGATCATCAGTTCCTGCTTCTAAATCAAAACTCAATACTTTTAACTCCATCCTACAATGAGCTGGAGAACGGCGCCTTATGCGGAATTCACAAAAAGACTCTGGAGGATATTCTTCAGGAAAACCAGGACTTTGCAGTAAGAAAGATTCTGCAGAATAATCTTGATGACACTCATTGACGGAAGATGCTAAGAAATGAAACATTTTCCGTTAAAATTTTAATTTAAGAACAATTTGAAGAATATTTTTTTTATTGCATATCAACATTATTTTCATGACCGCCCATAATGGAACAACATTCGATTCATAATGGTTTATTTGGTAATTTTTTTATAAAAAGTTTAGAAATAGAAAAAATTGTACTTAACCTATCAAACAACCCCTTATTCACATCTTAAAGAATTCAACTTCAATCTATAAAACTATGTTTAATTTATTTATCAAATGACCTATGTTGATTTATAATAAAATTTGCAAATAACATTAAAACTACATGTTACAAGTTGTAGTATTATACTATGTCACTGAAAAAATACGTGATTAAATATCTAGGAATATTTTTTTTTAAAATTTAAGTGGTAACTCAAAAAAAAAAAAAAAAAAAAACGATTTTCTCGTTAACCTATAAATTAACTACAACTTTGTTTTCTATATTTAAATTCAGCCTCTGTCCCTAATTTACAATGTGATAGTGATATGATTGCACTATTCTGTATACTCAAAACGTAAAAAAAGGTTGTTCAAATTATTCACTTTTTGGTTTAAGACAAGCTGGTTCTTTGAAATGTAAAGTTCTATTTATTTCATAGAAGACTTAAAAGTGTTAAGGAATAATTGAATTGTCAACTATGAATGTAAATGGTGGCAAAAATTTAATTACTTTTTGCTTATTTAATATTTCTTAAATTATTCAATCGTAACTACCATCATGACTTACATTTCAATTAATTTTGGCCATTTTTGGTAAAAATGTTTGGTATTTTTAATAAAATAATAGCCACTTTTTGGATTTTTAACCACCCGTGACAATCCTGCTACTGCGTTTCTTCTGCGAAATATTTCATACGGAGGTGGACAAATAAAAATGAAAACTTTCAGAATTTTCGGTAATTTCGCCAAATTTCAAACGTCTCACCACGAGCGAGCTAGAACAAAAGTGGCTTTTCATATAAGCTTTTGAATCATTTACACCTACTGGTGTAGAAAACAACTTTAAATCAAAGTTTCAGAACAAAGAAGCTTGCATTAAAACTTACATTTAGGTGCCAGAGGAAGAAAGTTTCCCAAGAAGTGCAGAAGATTTTCAGAGTGAGGCTGTTACTTACAAATAACATAGCAATTCCTTAGTACTTTTCAAGAAAGACGGCAAACAGCCTAATAAATGTTTTCATGTTTCTTATAAAATTGATGGTAAAAATTTTCGAATAATTTCTAACATAAAAGAGGCCCAACGTATTTATGCTCATTACATGGCAATGGCAAATCTTACATGATTACGTGAAATTGAAATGATAGGTAAAATAAGTAACATTACATAACAAACCAAAGCACATAGGAAGCAGAAATTTGCTACAACAATTAATTTTCTTTTGTGTGGCTCATCACTGTTCATAATGATTAGCTCAATTTTCAAAGCAAAACTCGTGATATTGCTATAACTATAATTATTGTTATATTATAATAAATTTTTTTTCCAATTAATTTTAAGTTTTTATAATCACTTTTATTTTGTATTTGAAGCACCATTAACATTACTGATTCATACTTTTGGTAAAGTTTGTTCTTGTTCATTAATTTTCTATTTGAATTCATTTTCTTCACGTATATTAAAACGTTCTACATAATGACAATATAGTGAATGCAATAAAATATTATGCAAAAAATACCGGATCTCCTGATATCTTCGCAATCTTCCATTTGATTTGCAAGTATTGAAAATCCTGGTCGCTCATTTTTTGTGTCAGATCTAAACTTTATAGTTATAGTTTCTCCAGCAAATGGAACATTTCCTGAAATAAAGAAATAATAATTACTTTTAGAAAAAATTTTAAGAGAAAAATATGACAACATTTTTCGGTTAAGGGTTCCCGTGTAGTTCTTAATGCTTATGAGGTGCTCTCTTCTTGAAATTTGTCGCAACACTTACGGAGCACTCTGAATACGAAAAAAACTTTCATGAGAAAAAGGGTAATACATATTTATTTATGTCACGTGGATATTTTTTTCTGTTACCTACCACTTTAGCTTTTAAGATGGAATATGCTCTGACTTTCCGTAAAATAAATCCTAATAAAGAAACACTCGTGTTACCATTTTTCTTTTTTGATATAGAAACTGTCCTTTAGGAGGATACTTTATATATATATATATNTTTTTGTGATATATATATATATATATACATATATGAACTAACTTTAGCAGATACTTCAAAGGTTTTAATTATGGTGAAATTGTCAACAATAGCCGACAATTTGAAAATCAATTATAAGAAATAAAAGGAGTTAGAAAAATATGGTGTTTGGTGTTCTGCTTAAAAATCCATCGATCTTTTCGCATCAAATTTCATTATAAGTTACAAAGTTCTTCGAAAGATGGCACTGCATGATCGGAAAAGTATAAGACAACTTGTTGCATGGCAGTCTGTCCATTTCCAACAGAACTAATTGCACAGGTTTCTGTTAATTTTGTACACCGATTGCTCCATGTTGCAGCTGCAAATTGTAGTTTTTTTTCCTTCAAATTATTACTATAGAATTCTTAAGTTATTAGCTCTTCTTTTGGCGAACTTTGTAACTAATGCTTAAACAAAATGAGAACTAATTTTTGTGTTTCCAATAACACAGCAACCTTTATATTCTTTTTGTCAGTTTATTATATTTTAACATTTTATTTAATCTCTTAGTCTCATTTTATTTGTGGGACCGTTGATAGAATTTCTTGGATTTATTATAAAATTATTGGAAAAGGATCTTCAAAAGATAAAAGTTGAACATAGATTCAAACTCCCAATTAGAGCTTCGACAAATCTCTGATTTTTAAATTGCATCTTTAATTTTGATGTTTTTGAAATGAAAAAAAACTGCTTCAGATTAAAAGAATAACTTAAAAAATAAGTTGGAAAAAATATTGAAGGAACATTATTTAAAAAAAAAAGAAATGGAAATTCACATCTATCAATATATTCGTCAACAATTTGCTACTTAGGTATAGAATGGAGTGATGACATTTTCAAGTTCAAGGAAGCAGTTCTACACGATTCTTATCATTCTACTTGAACTAAATATTAACGATTCTTACATTTCACACTGTAAACATGTTTTTCGCAAACAACCGAAGATTTTTCGAGACGTAATAGTTATTTATTTGATGTTGTCAAGGAATCCCGTGGCAATGAACACGTTTCAATTAATCGACAAAGGCGACTGAACTTTGGAAGTCGTCTGATTTTGACATGCTTTAGATTACATTCAAATGAAATCGAAACTGCTTCCGTTAAATAATTGATAAATATATATAAAAAAAGAATGAATGAATGAAGTTAGCTAAAAGACAACTAATTTTAGGAAAAAAAATAAAAAAACACTGGTAGCAGCACTATCCGTGCCTATTATTATACATCTACACTTAAATTCTAATATTTATTTTTGCTATCCTGATGCTGAAATGGGCCTTTTGCAGCTGTATTTTTGTAAAATTTTTCAAATAAATATAAATGTTTTGCTTGTTAATGTGTAATAGTAGCCATGGAAATCTTATTTCGTTTGAAACAAAAGCAAAAAAGAGATATTTATCACAAGCAGGCATACCAAGTACTCTGATTTCAGCAAATCGATTTCATAGAATGGTAGATAAGGATAATAAAAGAACTATAACTTACACCAATTTAGTTGATTTCACTTACCCTTCAGCATTTTAAATTTTTTCTATTCATGTTTTTCAGTGTTAAGTAGAGTTAAAATTTTTTAATAAACTAAAATTTTTAGAAAGACTTTTTTTTTAAAATTAAGACTATGACGTTGAGTCTACTATTAGACTTTTTATATATTATTTAAGTCATGCAAATGTAGTGGTAAATAAAAGTGATTCAATTATAATTTATGAAACTAATAATACATGACTATGTTAAAAATGGGAAATATGTTTTCTAAAACTTTACAAAGTAGTCGTGGGGGGGGGGTTGATACCATTATATATCGATTTCTAATCATGTTTTTCAGTGGTAACTAAAGCTAACATTTTTTAATAAATTAAAAATTTTATGAAGTTTATTTTTTAAATTAAGACTATGACGTTTAGTCTGTTTGTCTTTTTATATATTGTTTAAATTATACAAATGTAGTGGTTTAATTATAATTTATTAAAATAATAATACATGCCTAAATTAAAACTAGGAAATATGTTTTCTAAAACTATACAAATTGTTTAGTAGTTGGGGGGGGGGGGCATATCGCCATTAATTTAACCGATATCTACCGATCGGTGTACCATTATATATCCATTTATTTAAATACGAAACTAAAAGGAAACAGCGAAATTTAAAGCCGATAGTAATTTTTTTTCCAGTTAGGATTAGTTACCAAAACTAACCTGATGCATACACTGAATACATTGTCATTAATGTGACGTGATAATTATCAATGAATAAATGTATCGGAAATATTTAGAGATAAAACATTTTTTACCAGCACTTTTTATTTATTTGAAAAAAAAAATGCTTAATGTGTCTTAAATTGTCAGATAAGGCGATTTGGGTAAAGGATTATTAGGATCATTAGGATCCCCTGATACTTATATCATCCTCTCTTGGACAAACTGTTTACCCCCACTTGACTTTGTTTATTTGAGGACATTTTGCCGTAAATGTTTAATCTTCCAAATTATGCTTATTGTTTTCAATTATGTAAACTGAAATATCAAATAAGAGTTACACAACTTACTGATGGTTCTAGTAGGTATAGGACCACACAATCGCTCTCCTTCAACTTGCAGATAGTCCCTCTGACAAAAGGCATCATTTTCAATGTCAAAAGATAACAGAGTCATTTGCAAACCACATACATAACGATTGGACTTCTTAATTGTATAAGTACACTGCTGTAATGGCGGGTAGGCATTTGGAAAACCTGGGCTTTGTAAGACGAAAATGTCCCGATCAAACGAAGAATCACACCTTAAAGGTCCAGTTTTATCTGTTGAAAAGTTATCGAATTGTTAATTAAGAGTAAGAAATAAAATATGCATGGCGTTCTCGCAAAATCACCCTTACCATGCAATTTTCAAAAGTCTATCACAACTGGGAAAATAGATGAGGTATAAAGTTCAAAAATATTTATTACAATAAAAAAATTAATTAACCGAAATTAGAAAATAACCTTAAAGCTAATTAAAATTAACTCATAAGCTTTTATGATATAGCTTTAATTATTGTTCAAATTTTCTTTTCGTATTTTAGCCTAAAGAAATCGGTATTAATATAAATAATGTTCGTATCAACTTGTCTGTTATCCATCCTCCTTTATTTTTTTCCCAATCAATGCAAAAAATGAGAATGTCCTTTCAATTTGTTCGTTGTCCATTATCACTTCTTGAATTTCTAATCTATACAAATCAGTAGGCTCTCTTATCATGATACCCGTGGTGCGTTTTGATCATTTTTAATAAAAATAATAGAATCTTCTTCCACCTTCCTTCAAAAAACTAGCTGATTTTTAAAGATTTTAAGTTTCATTTTGGTAATGAATTGATTGATTTTGGAAATGATAAACGTCAGCTTTTTTTTATAATATTTTCTAAGTTTTCAAACTATAAATTACGACCACTGGTACAGAAGTATTTAAAATGTAGCTTTTAAGATGATTATGGAAAATAAATGCATGTAATAAGGGCGGTAATTACAGAACATTTTGTATATATTTTTAAAAAATATTGTAAATTTTGAAGGAAAAGGTAAACTTGATGACCTGAGAAACATGATGACGATTAAAAAGACATTCCAAATAAAAGGTTTATTGGGCATTTGAAATAAAGGTTTACATCTAGACTTTACATAAAATGTTTCATAGCAAATAAAATTAATTCAAATTTTATTACTTTTGAAATATTATTCAAAATACACTCATGGACAAAAAAATTAGTGCACCTTAGCTTGGTTTGCTAATTTTTTTGTCTATGAGTGTAGATTTTTTATGCTATAAATAAAATATTAAAATTTCGAAAACTTTTATTACTCTATTAAGTTTTCATTAAATAAATAATTAAGAGAAATAGTTTTAGCTATTAGTCAAAACTTACTTTGGACTGGAACTTCCGGTGTTTTTGGTTTGCATTTCAGTTGTTCTCCTCGAATCAGGAAACCCTTGTGGGCATTGGCACCATCAGAACGGAAATACATCGTGATTTCGTCGGAATTAAACAGATAGGCTCCTGAAATAAATTATAGTCGCCTTGAATTCTTTTTGACATTATGCTTAGGGAAAATGCTTTGTTCGGAAATTGTATCAGAACTCAGCTGCATAATGATGGGGTCGCAGCATTGTTAAAAATATAGAGAAAACAACGAAAAAGATGTAAAGATATTTAAAGGAGAGGAAGAAAAATTATTAAAAGATGTGTTTAAAAAATATTCACAAATTGAAATTTTTTTTAAAATTTAAAACAAAACTTATTCTAATTTAAAATATTATTTATTTATTTTATTGTTATTATTTTCTTAATTTTCTTCGTTAATTTCTCTCTTCTTTTACCCTATTGTCTTTATTATGTTATTATATTATGTAATATGTATGCGTGTTTGTCACGAACATGAAATTTTTTTTGAAATAGACAAATAATAGTGAAGCGTTGTCACCAATTTAAAATATAAAAGATCTTTGTCTGGCCTTCTCAGGGCAGCTATGGCCAGGCCATAGCTGACCTGAGAAGGCCAGGCCAGAAAGTGAGGCGAAAAAAGAAGAAAAAAACTGGTAGTAAACAATTTGAATAATTATAGCTTGTTTTCGGGAGGAGTAAAACAGGTAACAGGTTCTAATTCCTCGTAATTATAATCTAGTTAACACTATTTACTCTTCCTTGGGTTATTATAAGTAACAGTTGGAAATATTTTAACTGTTCAATACTATAACTGTTAAAAATATCTTGGTAGATATGGATATTTTACTTGTCCCGAAAGCAAACTAGAATGAAATGATATTCTTGCCAGTTTTAACTCTTTTTTCTGTCTTACTCTATATAAACTTTTAGGACTGCATACGACCTATTACGATAAGTTTTAAGCTAATTTTAATCAACGATTTTAATAATCTGAAATAATAAAATGAAGTGTTTGTTTGTTTGTCATATAACTCCAGAATTGTTTGTTCTAATGTCTCAAAATTTTGACAGGGACAATTTCAGTCACCAATTTCAGTTAGATCGTTCAGGAAAGACATTTAAACAAAAGAATTTTTTTACTGGCTTTCAGCTTGCGCCACTGATATAAATAAAACTGCAAAGATAGTGTTAAATTTAGTCATTTAGATAATTTAAAAGATAGTGCTTGCTAAAACAAGTTTGCTTGCTTATAGCTTTCATTATTCGAAAAAGTAATTTATTGTAAGGTTCTTAGATATTTAATTATTTTTTATCAGTTTTGCTAAATGAATCGAATTATCGACTGAAGCTTGATAGCATCAGGATGGTTAGAAATATAAAGAAAAAAAACTCAAGGTTTGATTAAGTAAATCCAAATTAAAGTTCGACTAATATTTTCCAAATAAAAGAGCTTCTTATCAACTGATTTTAACGCTAAATTTGATAAACACCAATACGTGTGTTTTAATGTTTTTTTTTATTATAAAGTTGTTTGAAAGTTTTTATTATTCCGAATTTTTTTTGTAGTGACGAGAAAGAAATTAAGAAATATTTTTGCGTCTTTTCCAACTATTAAAATAATTTATGAAGCAAGCCCATTCTTTTAAGGTGCTGATAGTACATGAAAACATGATAAATTAACTATTCAAAAATTTTTTTACTAAATCAATATGACTAACGCAATATAAATCTTTCTATTACAATGTTATGATAATAAGTTCATTTCCAGGTGTTGTTAGTTTAATCTTCCATACGCCGCTTTGGAAAATTAATTCTCTTTCCAAGAATAAGGTATCTTAAAAATAGAATAGTAGCCTTGACTTTCATTTGATCATCTCGTGAATGAATTACATAATCCAGATTCGTGCTAAAATCTGTTATGTTGCCAAATACAAGAAATAAACATTGTCTATTCCTTTGAAATATTTCTCACGTATCTGAATTCGAAAGTTCCTGCAAATATTTATTTACTTTTTATGTTTTGTTTGAACACTGAGAAATCAAAAGGTTATGAAATTATACAAAAAAGCATATTTTATCACGGAATTAAATTTTATGTAGTTGTTGAGAATTTGAAATCCCTTTATATTTAAACATTTTTAAAATTAAATTAATAAGTTATTGAATTTATTTAAATAAATTTAAAATTAAGTTAATAAATTATAGAATTTCTTTAAATATATTCAAAATTTCTTTTGCTTTGAATGATAAGAAAATCTTATTTTTTTAATAAACTTAGTTGCGTTTCTGACATGAAAATGTCCCAAGAATTAATTTTTTTAATTAATTTGGAAAAACTAGATTATTAATCATTTGATTATAAAATATTAATAAGTTTTATTTGATTATAAAATATCTCTATCCATTTCATTAAAAAATCAGAACTATGTATATGGATTTTTTTTATTTTTTATTTTATTTTATAACCGTCGTTGAACAGCCGACCCGATTTTATGGGTTTACGACTACTAATGTTCAACTCAGTAGGCCTGTTATTTTGAACCCAATCCAGAAGACAAGGGAGCTCCTGGATCGAGTATTGAGAGAAACTTGCCTTCGTGGAGGACATTTTGATGGAGCCAACCCCCATTTGCGTTACATGGAAAGGAAAACCACGAGAACCTCCAACGGTTAGCCTGACGGCAAGGGGACTCTAACCCATGATCCGTCTACCACTGAGGATATTTCACGTCAGCACTGTGGTCGGTGCAAGCCGGATGTGGAATTCGTATCGACTGGAATTCGAACCCGGTTCGCCTCATTGGAAGGCGAACGCTTTATCCCCTGAGCCATCGCGGCTCATGTAGGGGAGAGTTGGATAAAACGGGATAGTCGGACAAAACGGGATACTTCGCCTAGGCACCAGACTATTGCAGCTATCTAGTGGAAAACGACAGAAACGTGTTATTCGACCGTGATTATATCATTCTCGGTGCGTCCCGCCTAGAGATCACTATTTGATAGAAAGTTGTAGGTCTCGGAACTTTTTTACTCTATTTTTTTGCCATTTTCTACATTTACGTGCGTTGTTTTTTACATTGTACTGCCTACATATATGGGAATAAAATTTGGGTGAGTATTAAATTTAATTAACCATTTATTTACCAACATTTTTATGCGCAGTCTATCTAATTTTCTTTTCACATTTAGGCAGCAGCCATGTTTGTTTCAAAAAGTGTCGGAGTCGTACAAAGCGGGACACTTGTGAGTTGGATAAAACGGGATAGATTTTTTTATGTCCCGTTTTATCCACCTATTTATTTGTTGGATTATTACATTTTAAAAAAGCCATATATTAATGTAGGCCTAGGCTTTTTAAACAAATTATTTATATTAGCTATATATATTTTTGAAAAATTTAGTCTCTTTATATAGTAATGCAAAATTTGTTTATTAACGTTCATTATTAAGCATTTGATTTTCGACTCTAGGATTTCACATCTTTCTTTAGAACTAATTGTAATGTATTTCTCTGATGAAGACTTGAGCTTTTTTATTTATAAACAATATTATTTATATATGCATTATTTATAATTTTATATTTACATATATGTAAAAAATTAAACATTGTAAACCCTATCCCGTTTTATCCAACCCAGGTGTGCTAAAACGGGATATGTAAGAGTTTGGAAATAAATTTTTTTTTCTATTTCATAGTCATTAAAATTAGTTTAAAATATGTGTTTTGTATGCTTCAATAAATGTTGTATCTTCAAAAAAAAATAATGTATGCTTTTCCTTAACTGATATTCCGTAGTAAATAAAAACAATAATGGTATCCCGTTTTATCCAACTCTCCCCTACATGGATCGGCAAAATTCTCGGTTTCTTATTTTCTTGGATGCTGATAATAATCGCTTTCTTGTCTTCTAAACCACATTCGGAATACTTGCATGGCACGTAATTTTTAAATTATACTCTTCATTTTCGTGCTATATAAACAATATGAGTTCCATAAGAGATGATAATTATTTTTAAAACTGCATTACTTAAAAACATGAAATGCATACATTTTAGTCAATAATGTGAATTTGAAAAAACATAAAAAGAAAAAAGAACTAAGAAAAAAAATTCTATTATATTTTACGTTTTAAATTGTTTTACGTATTTTTTTTTTCTTCATCATGCGTGTTTAAATACGAAAAAAAAGATAAATGAATGAAACTTCATAAAATATAATTTTACATGTTCGCTAAAAAAGTTTTAATTTTTGCCAGGCTATCATCTATAACTGTGGAATGAAACAAATATTTTCTACAAAAACGCAATTGGTATATTGATGTACATTTTATAAGAAGTAGACAAATTATGGTAGTATCATTGATTTAGGAGTCTATTGAAGTATTCAAGAAGTAGACAGGATCACTGCATATCTAAAAAAATTTTATTTCGAAAAATATAATTCTTGCACTGACTTTTTTATAACCTTTTTGCGTTTGCCTTAGGTTTATGTTTATTTTATAACATTCTGTATAACATTCAAATATACACAGAAGAGCCATTACATTATGACCACTCTGCTAATTACATGTAGCGCCACCTTTAGCCCTCAAAACTGCTAGCACCCGCCGTGGCATTGATTCCACAAGGTGCTGATAGGTAGTCTGAGATATCTGGTACCAACTGGTCCTGCAATTCCCTCATATTGCGAGGGGGTATCGTGGCAGCACGAATTTGGTTTTCCAAGTCGGACCACAAATGTTCTATTGGATTAAGGTCACGTGAATTTGGGAGCCAAGACATGACTTGAAAGTCACTGGAATGTTCCTCGATGATTCGACCCTTATGACATGGTGCATTATCCTATTGGTAAACACCATCCCCCGCAGGAAAAACTGTTTCCATGAATGAGTGAACCTTGTCAGCAACTATGTTCAAGTAGCTTACAGACGTCATGTCTGTAAGCTACTTGAACATAGTTGGATTGTTCTGTGCCTCTAGGATTGTTCTATGAGGATTATGGGTCCTAATGTGCCCCATGAAAGAATTGTTCCTGGGCGAGAAACCATGAAAACCTGGGCGAGCCCATTGTTATAGATGGAGGGTGGTCATAATGTAATGGCTCTTCGGTGTATACGTATAATAGTCCTTCCTATTTCAGATCTTAACAACCAAATGCCGTCTAATTATGGAAGCAGAGTTATAGAAGCAATAATTATTTCACTTACTAATCTCATCCTCTTGAAGTGTTCCACAAATTCTTCTTCCATTGATGCTGAGATAATCAAAATGGCAATCATCACTGGGTTCGAGATCGAAGCGTAAAAATACAAGTTTCACCCAGCATATGTCATCTGAAGCCTTCTTGACCAAGTAACGACAATTCACACCGTTTGGATATGGCATAGGAAAATTCACACTCCTGATTTCGAATTCTGGACGTTGAAATGTCCGATCACAGTTTTGGTTGGCAGTCTGAAAAAAAAAAGTATGATTGATCTGAAACTTTTAATGACCTCGATTTACTGAAACGCTTTGTTTAAACAAAAACTAATGTCTAAAATATCCCGGCAATAACTAACATATCAAGTTGAAGGTATTTCAAGAACAAAGTGATTGGAAAGAAGATCGCGTGCAAGCGATTTCTAGTAATTGAATTGGTAACTTATAGATTGTCTAAAATCCGGATGCATGTTTTACAGATTTAATACCTAGCAATAATCTTCAAATATGTAATTATCTTAATGTTTTTTTTAAATTTTTTTTATTTCCAATGAGCTGCATAATCGGTCTTGCCGATTAGCAGACCTAGTGCGTTCTCCAGAGGTATCCACTCTTTCAGGACCACCACAATGGGTGGGATACTGTTGGTCATGTTAATTAGAACGTCTAGTTTCTGCCACACTAGATGGCAGCACCGAGACTCTATTTGGATGCTAAAGTGCACTAGGAATTTAATTTTGCCGGAAATGCCAAGAGCCAATAAGGCACACTCCAGGGATTATCTCAATGTTTATGCCTAGAAATTCACTAAGAGATGACCAACATTTAAATTTGTTTCTCACTATGAAACCGATGGTCACAGTCGATAGTCAATTTCACAGTTAGATAATTTATTATTATAATAACTTAGCTGATACTCTTTACATTTCTCAACAGTTTAATTTAATTGCCAAGGATGGTGCTTGATAAATTTGCTATTCGCATAAAAACCGAAAAGATTTTTCATAATGACAAAAGAAAGCTACAAACCAAAAACATATTTTTCTAATAAAACAGTTTTTGAAACAGAATTTTTTAAAACATATTTTTCATGCTTCTTTCATCTTTTTGTATTAATTTAGGTCGAAATAAGTGAAAAATATTTTATTTAGCATTTTAATAATTTATGGTTATGAAATACAGTACGAAACACTGGTGTCTTTTTTGGCGTTACAGGTTAAATGTTTCAAACACAGCTCACTTCCAAATAATAATTTTTCACATTTGCACTTACTTGCAGTAACTAAGAAAAACAGTTAGTCATCATCGAAATTTATTTAATTTATGAAATTAATTACTGATAAACTTTTGAATATAAAAGAAAAAAATTCAACCTAATTTTTTATGATTTATATTTTAGAAGAAAAATAATTTCGATAACCTAGTAGATGTTTTAGTAACTATTAGAATGCTTTTTATTATTAAAAAATATCAAACTGTATTTTCTCTTGCAATAAGAGCGTCAGGAAAAAAATATATAAAAGGAACACCTGTGTGAAGGGTTGCAGCCATAATAAATAAAATAAATAAATGCTATCTAAATAAACTGGTTCTAAAAATTTTGAAACCCAGAAAAAGAATGTTTGAAATGTCATTTAATATTTACTACTACTTAGTTTTTTCATTATTTTTACGTTCTTAAAAGAAATCTTGTTGTTACAAATGGTGAATACACCCATAGTTTATTCTATTTTACTTTAAGTGTAAAAAACAAAATCCAGTTAGTTTTTCTTTAATTCACTGGCTGTTAAGAAAATGGGCAAAATTGGGAGGAATGTTTCTCCCCTATACACTGCTCTCCTATATATTAACATGAAAAAAACCGGTTCAATACAGAGAAGACAGCAGGTTAAAATACTACTTTTTACGTGCAGAACCATCAGTGGGTTAAACTAAAAAAAAAAAATGCTTTTAATTGAAAAATCTCAACTGTTACCTGTAAAGTCCTCTGCAACGCTGTTGCTTCGAATATTGGATAATCGACTAAATGTTCATAATCTACATGTCCAGGAGGATAAAGGTAATGTTCTTCCACTGGTGGAGGTTCAGCAACAGGAGGTTCAAAATGTGGTTGGAAATTTGGCTGAAAATTCGGTGGCTGTTGTACTGGTAGCTCAAAATGTTGTTGTCCTTTAGGTTGTTGATGCATTGGAAGCTCAAAGTGAGGTTGCATTTTAGGTGGTTGCTGAGCAGGGGGTGCACCTTTTATTGCTGATTGAGCATCTGGACATTCTTCTTGTTCAACTTTGATTACAAATCCGGGTCTTGTGTTCGCAGAATCAGAATGAAATACGAACTTTGTTTGGTAATCTCTAAATTCAACCATTTCTATAAAAAAAAGAGAGTCCTATTTAAAAAAAATTAAATTCGGAACTCAGTCTGATTTCAGTCTTGCACATCAAACAGGCTCTTTTTAGAGTCCGATTGGGACCATATTGTTCTGAGTTTCCAAAAATTATCACCATTTAAAGAGTAAAACTATTATAATCGTTACGAATCAACTAGGGATTAAGCTATTGTATCAGATTACATAATGTGATTATACGCTTTCGCTTTTAATTACTAGTGTTTCTTTACAAAGATGCTAATTTGCAGTGTTGAATTTGTTTATGCTAAGCTTTTTGCAGTTTCAGATTTTTATTTAGAGTACATCAGTTTCGTCGCATGCCTTTCTACGACATTCTGAATCTTAAAGCGCGTGTCCAATATGCGTGTATGTGTGTTTTTCACTCGATGGCAGTGCTATCGGAGCAGCGAGCAGTCTAATGTTTATGTGTGTCATCATAGGTTGAACTTTTAAAATGTAATGTTAAATTTATGTTTTTCTCATTTAATCTTATATGTTAAATCAATGGGTTAGAGTCCCCTTGCTGTCAAACTAGTCCTGGGAGGGTTTCATAGTTTCCCGTAGTTACATCAAAAGGTCCTCCACGATGGCTAGTTTCTCCCAATGCTAGATCTAGCAGTTCCCTAATCTTCTGGGTTGGGTTAATTACGAAGCTAAGGAATTGAACATTGATAGTTGTAAACCCAGAATTGGGTCAGCTCTACAACGCCAGTAATAAAATATAAAATATTTGTTGCGCAAATAAATCACATATTGAATATTCTGTAAATATGCAGAAATGTCTAAAATAAGAAGCTTAAAATTAGAAAACTATGTACAATTTAAAAAACTATGAGCCAATCCATTGCTTTTGTGCAAGCAAGCAGTAGAGATTTCATAAGTCAGATTTTGCAAAATTGATTTATTACAAAAGCGTATATAGGGTTATTTATTATTCCCAGGCGATTTCAGAAAGCTGTAACAATAATAATAATAACAATATAGAAAAATCAAACCTTGCACTAAATGCAGAAACAATTTTGGTTTTATTTAAATCCTTAATGTGTTTTATGTGTGAACAATTGGTCAAACGACATTCATCAATGCGAAAGACCAGTTCCTCCGTTCAACATGGTATTATGAAATTGACGGCACGGTAATTCTTTTATTAGTAACTTTTCTTATGATGTTATCTATGTAGATGTTTTATTTTTATTCCATTTGCCGTGTCATTTACTAGAGTTGTGTGAAAGGATTGCAAGCAATGTCAATATCGTTGATACTATAGTCCAGGGGTGGCCAACCTGCGGCTCGAGAGCCACATGCTGCTCTTTGAAGGATTATTTGTGGCTCTCGATAAATGTACCCGAGTTCCCTTTTCATTTTTGTGCTATTATATTTTGACAAAATTATTATCGTCCCTTGACGAATCGACAGATATCACAGATCTTTCGCAACTGGCAGTTTTTATAAGTTTTGTTTCACCGGACTTCGTTGTTAAAGAAGAATTATTAGATTTAGTAGCACTTCAAGAGTAAACCCGTGATGTCGATACTAAAAATTAGATTCCATACTGAAAACTTTTGAAGTGCTTCTTATTAAACTTGTAAGCATTGCAACTGATGGAGTTCCGCAATGCTGGGTAGAAAAAATCGGTCTTATTGGGATTTTAATAGATGATTCTTAAATTCCACAATTCATACCGTTTCACTGCATAATTCACTGAGAACATCTCGTTACAAAGTATATAAAATATCCTGATGTTATGAAAACAGTGTTACACATTGTAAATTATATTTGCACGAATGCAAAAAATCATCGACAATCAATAAATTTCCTTAAAGAATTAAAGGACGAAGAACTTCCAAATGACATTAATTCCTTTTGCATTCTTTTCTTTTCCTGTGATCAGTATTAACTAACCAGCATCTCTAAGAATTACCGAGAAGTGCTGTCATCAATTATTCACCAAATTTTATAGAATTATCAAGAGAAGTAAAATAAATGTGTTTAGTTTTTAATATTTGAATTCAATACACGTATTTTGTACTTTTATTTATATGTTTTCAATAAATATAATTTCTGTAAAAAAAATTTTTTTATACCTTTTTTGCCTACCTTTTAAATACGTATTTAATTGCGGCTCGCGAAAAATTTCAAATTTTGAAAAATGGCTCTACTATCAAGGAGTTGGCCACCCCTGCTATAGTCTTTCATGATGATTGGCAGAAACTAGATTATCACATTGATGTATGCCGCTTGACCAAGATTTAACAAATAGAATAACTAAAGTAACGATTGTAAATAAAGTTTGAAATATTTCTGTATTGTGCCAGTTTTTTTTCTTTCTTTATTTACTACTAGCCGCCAAAGGCGCCCAGCTGTTCGCCAAGCTAAAGGTTTTCACAAATAAAGTTTTTTAAAACATAGCCGGAAATCTGAAGATTAGTGGACAATTAAAGTGTTCCTGTCCAGCAATTTTGTCTTCATATCCAGTTCTGCTGCAGATGTGTTATAGCTCTTGAGGATGTTTGAAATTATATAGCTACAACGCTTAAGAAAAAAAAAACTAAAATGCTAAATACATGAAAAGAACACGAAAACGAATTAATTTTTTATGGTATCAATTTCTATTTCTATATAATTTTTTATGGTATCAATTTCTATTTCTATATCGCTACAAAAATTATCGTCTTCGCTTAAAAAAAAAAAATAGAGCGTGGAAAGAAGAAGAAAAACTTATTATAACAATTATGAACAGCGACAAATATATCAAAGCGAAGCGTTCTATTTACGTATCGAATATGTTGCCACATTTTTAATACAAAAGTTAAACTTTTCTCCACTTTGATAAATGTAAACTAATGCGAACCTTACAATTAAATTATTAATTCCTTCGTATATTATTGGTTTAAGTTGTCGAAAATTAATATTTCAATTGTAAGGTTCGCATTAGCATACATTTATAAGAGTGGAGAAAAGTATATGCATTTTTTAATAGTTTTTTGAATATGGCTCTTTGAAGACGAAAAAGCATAGATTTTCTTACAAAATGACTGATAACTAAAAAACTAATCCAAATTTTTGAAAAAGAAAAAAAATACTTCTTCATTATGTCAAAACACAATTATGTGCCGAGTTTCGTGCCTGGGCGAAGCTTCTGGGGCGATATATTGTGATTACAGACAGACAGACACACACACAGCCGCATTTATTATTATGTATAGATAGCCGTATGATACCCTGTTGAGAATAATGAAAATCCTTTAACTTAACGGTTAAGAAACATGAATGTTGAAAACATTTTTGAAAACTCGTATAGCTTTAATTTTTTATTTGTAACTAATGTTTAAAACAGAACATAAATGTTTTTCCACAGTCAATTAACACTTTGAATGCCACGCTAATTTTACATGGCTTGCTCGTCTGCCCACACGGTAAATAACAACAAACTAAATTTGCAAATATAGACAGATTTTGCTAGTTTATAAAAGGTTTAGCATGACATATCTGAAAAAAGTGGTGAATTATATATGCCTACGAATTTTTTAAAAATAGTGGTGGATTAAAGTCTACTAAATTGAATTTATTAAACCAAGAATCACAATAATTCAGTAAATTTTGAATTAATTTTCTGCAATTCCATAAAAGAGTGTAAATTTTATAGTTCTATATCATGTTATACACTGTCAGACAGCTGTTTTTCGCGGCCTATGTGAAAGGTGAGTGTCAGCAAGCGGTGGCAGACGCAACCTAAATGTAATTTCAGTGTCAGCCACCGGTGGTTGACGCTGCCTAAATGCAATTTCAGTTTCAGCCACCGGTGGTTGTCGAGGCCTAAATGTAATTTCAGTGTCAGCTACTGGTGGTTGTTCAACGTGTTAAGGACAAAATATTCATTCCTATATAATCAATTATCCGAGGTTTAAAAGTTATTTTATTTTTAAAAATAATTCAAAGACATTACAAAATAGCAGTTTGAAAATTTAATCTTTATGAAAATGCTTGCATGAAGCAAATGTAATGATAATATTTATGCCACTGACTAGAACACTTACGAACATGCCCTGCATTCAAGGTACCACAAGTTTTCTGACCATCGATTTCCAAATAGTCGTATTCACATCCTTCGCTTGATTCAACATCGAACTGTCGGAATGAGAGCTTGAGTCGACAGATCCGTGGTCCTAATCTCCTAATGGTGTACTTACATTCTACATCAGATGGGTAGTTTTCTGGATGCATGGGACTCAAAATGCTGAAGGCAAGCGATGCATACAAGCGATCACAGTTTCGTCCTTTTCCTTCCGTTCGTACAGATGGAACTTTAGCTACATTTAAGTAGAATGTTTTCATCAGAGATTAAATGTACGATATTAAGACATAATAATACAATGCAATATCATGCTTATGGTATACAAACACAATGCAACACCATATGTAGGATATTCTGCTGACACAAAACTCAATATATTAGCTTGAATTTTTAAGTATAAACTCGTGTATTCATTACTGACTATAGTGGCATGTTCAAAATGATCAATAATGTTCAATAACTAATACATGGTCAATAAGACATGTTTAATAATGAATAAATTAGTTTTTCAAGTTCGACTATATTTATTTCGGAGCTTTTTGGGCATATTTTTGCTCAATTCTGAGAAACCCTTTTTTTATAGGATAACGTTTTTATTACAGTTAATAAACTCGAATTATGTAAGATATTGGGTACAAAATTCTGATTATACTAAAATAATTTTTGTATGGGAGCAGATATAGTGTAAAAATTATATCTGAAATAAGCTAACGAAGGGGGAATCCGCTTATATATTTAAAATGCAGCTATGGTAACATAGATGCTTTTAAGCGAGACATGAAAAAAATAAATAAATAAATAAATTTCCAAATTTGTAGAACATGTCATCATAAGGATTCGCTTTTGTACATTTTTAAGAAATAGAACTTATGAGAAATCCGTGTTTAGGACATTATTTTAAGAAAATAAAACGAAAAAAAAGATAGCAAAATAAAGAAAAAGAAAGAAAAACATGCATAAGTCTTTTCTAAAAATTATTAAATAAAAAAGAAGAAAAAGAGAGAAAAAAAAACATGTTTAGAGACAGGGAGAATAAGATTATTTATCAGACTAAACAGTATAGATATAACAGTTAAAAATATAATTTAGCGTAAAAAAAATTACTCTTTTTTTTCCGCATTTCCTGGAGTCAATGTCTTCGATGAATCTAGATATAATGAAGCCGCAAAACAAATGTTTTCAAGATTTCATTCACAAAATAAAAATAAACTGAGCGTTTTTACGCACTTAAACCATTATACAATTTAGTTCCTGTATTTCGTATCTTTAATTTATATACAGATAAGTTAATTTCACACTAAGCTGCTGGGGCAGTGCGTGGGGGGTATTGATAAATGTATGTATATATATATATATATATATATATATTGATTATAACCATCCTCAGTCAATTGGCATTTACGTGAATTAAGATATTTGCAGTTCAAAGCAATTAATGAATTATTTTTATGAAATTGAACATTTATTATAGAGATCAGCAATATTTTGAAGAGTATGTGTGTCAAAGAAACTATTTAAACCATTGGAGGGGTATTTCAGAAGGTTTTGCTTATATTTTAACTGACGTTGTGTTTCGTGTATGAAAGACTAGATGCTTGATACACGTAAAAGGTACTGGCTTAAGGAAATTATGGCATGAAGAAGTTTGTTTCAAATAATATATGTGCTTACTAAAAACAATGTGTAATAAAATCCATAAATATAAAAAATATTTTAATCTGCAGTATGATTATGGATATTTAGTCAAAATAAATGCAAATGTAAGACTTGCATTACCTACCAAGAGCTGGTGAGCAGGGTAGCTGTTTGTACACTGCATAAAATCCTTTGTCAGATATGGAATCATCACTTTCGAACGTAACATTAACTTCTCTTGGATATCCATAAAATGTCAAAGTTCCTGTCAAGAAAAAAATGCTTATAAGTTAAAAGGTAAATAATAATTCAAAAACAGTGGAGCGTAACGTGTTAAACTTAAAACATTAATTGCAAAAATATCAGTAACAAAAAGATAAATGCAAGATACAATCTGAAAAAGGGAAATAGGTAATGATGGTATTAGTATCAATTTGTACTGTCAACGAAAATGACCATAGAAGACAAGCGAGGTCAATGAATGATATTCATTTAATTTTAAATACTTATATAGGTATTTTTTTAAAATCAGAAAAAAAAAACAAATTCGGTGGATGATATTTGCGTATGTATACTCCGTAAAATTCCTAAAGGGAAATTTTCAAGTGTAACTTACCTGTAAAATCGTTTAACATCATAGAATTAAAAATGCATGTGAGCAAATATAGTAAGCCACTTTTTTGCTATGTGTGGCCAAACAGTTTTTATTGATTCGAAATGGGTGCTTTACAAGTTTTCGAGATTTTCACTAGATTACGTGCTATGTTCTGATGTCCGCTTGAAGCTCATCCAGCTTAAGATCCATGGGTATCTGTATGATGGGGAAGTAAAAGCAAAAACTCATGCAGCGTCGGTGATGGTTCTTCCACTTCTAATAATAGAATCTAATAATGAATAATTTTCTTCCAATGGTTTTTCCACTTCCACTAGATTACGTGGTCTCGGTGTCTGTTTAAAACCCACCCAGCTATAGATCCATTAGTACCAGTTTGTGGGGGAGAGGTAAAGGCAAAAAAGGTGATGGCTCTTTTACTTCTAATGAATAATCTTTTTTTAATGTTTCTTCCACTTCTACTAGATAATGTACAATGTTTCTATGTTTGCTTGAAACCCACTCAGCTTCAGATCCATGGGCACCAGCTTGTCAGGGAAGTAAAGGCAGAAAACTATACATCCTCGGTGACGGTTCTTCCACTTCTAATAACTGTGCTGGAACTCGGATTCTGGAAACGCTTTTTTCTGATCAGTTACAGAGTTTGAAGTGTTTTAATATCAATTATTTTTTAGGACACAATTGTGTCTTAAAATAACGACCTCTTAAATTAATTTTCAATCTCTAGAAGAGGGAAAGCTCAAAAAAAGAATAAAATCTGGTGAGTAGAGAGTTTAAGAAACCACAAAAATGAGTTTATTGATCAAAAACGCATTTATTGTCATTGCTGTGTGAAAAGATGTTTAAGGTCCTTGATTACAGGCATGATCTTTCTTCGTAGTTTAAGTTAAATTCGTTTCTCAAATTCTGATGTTTGTTGGCGTGGTACATATTCAACTGATTCTTAAAAATCAAGATCCCAGATTCTGTCAACATTTCCATCCGCTCTTGCAGTTGAAGTCCTTTCACCGCACGATTCTCTTGCTTTTGAAAATACCTTAAATGACTGTAAAACACAACACTGTCTCCATAAGCCCGATTAAAGACCCCATCGCAACCTACCCAAGTCTGAAGCAAAATATGATAACTCATCATTGCACAATATTAATGTCACTTATTTTTTGAACACACTACAGAAACTGATTTAGATAGAAAAATGATTTTGGACAACAATATACATTAATCTCTTGAGTTTACATTTCTTTTGCATCAGAGGTTCATCTTCTACCTAGCATCCATCAGAGGTTCTTCACCTAGTTTGGTGGGCCCCGGATTACCATATCGAACGTTATATCACCAAATCTCATAATTTAATTATTTACACACTTCGAATAACCACGTGATTATACCTAGATATCTCTTTTGTAACTAAAGCCGCTCAATAGTTAAGAAAGTGGATACGGATTTTTAAGGGTTTAATTTTTGTTGTACATTATTTCCTCATTTGAAATTTTTAATACTTTCCTTACTTTTTTGCCCAAGCAGTTGCGGACCACAATACTTGATGCCGTTTATACGCACGAAGTCTGTTTCGCACAGAGCATTCTCAGCATGTAGCGCAAACTCCAGGAATTGGAAAGAGACTCTGCAATGATTAGGTTCAGCCACGAAACGGTAAACACATCTACGTGATTCTGGATAAGGCTCAGGAAATCCTGGACTTTGAAATGTGCCACTAGAATTTGCAAAGGTCATATCACAACCTCCTGCAAAATAATAACCCAGCTTGAATTAGTAAACGAATAAATACTTAAAATAAATTATAGCAATTTAATTGAGATTAGGTCTGTTTAAAAATAATAACAAAATCAGATTTAAGTTTTTTCTTTGAAAGCTAATTAAAAACAATTTTTAAATAATAATGAGCCATTATTATTTATAGCTGTTGTTTGTAACAGTTACTGCCATATTTAAGTTCAATCCACTTTCAGACAGCTGTCTTTTTAAATGTTTACAAGAAGAAAAACTACAGAAATTTTTTAAAATAAAAAGCGCTTGTAAGTTATATTTTTAACCATGGAAAAATTATTTCAACACATTGATATTCGGGCCCATAAAAATTGATGATGTTGTTGGTGTTTATTTACGTCACACTAGAACTGCATAATGGGCTATTGGCGAAGGTCTGGGAAACATCCCTGAGGATGATTCGAGGAAATGCCATCACTATTTTGATCCTCTGCGGAGGGGATGGCACCCCCGTTTCGGTAGCCCGACGACCTGCACGTGAAATCGAGCACTTTACGGTAGAACAGTTTAACGAGGACCAATACCACACACCCTCGGTCCCTACGCAGGCTGATCCAAGTGGTCACCCTACCACACACTGACCGCAGCCAGTGATGCTTGACTTCGGTGATCTGCTGGGAACCGTTTCTTAACGATCAGTCCACTGCGGGACATAAAAACTGATGAAAGTTGAGAATTATTCATCGATTTGAGAGAAATACAACCAAATTGTCAAATTTTTAAAGTTTATTAGCGCTAAAGTAAAGTTAATACAAGTTTTAAAAAATAATAATAAGATTTAAAAAGCATCGATCTGAAAAAAATATTACATAAGCATAAGATATTTACAATTTGTTAATTTTCACTGATTATGTGGTTTAAAATTACAAAAGCATGCTTACATATCATTCAAAAGGCCTTTAAGTATTTTTATTCAGTATTTATATTAAGTACAATTTTGTTAGTTTTTTGATGAATGTGCCTACTCATTTTTATGATCATTGCATATTAATTAATTTTTGCATACAATGATCATAAAAATAATCCTTTAATACCTTTAATTAATTACCTTTAATTTTTTTAAAAATTTATCTTAACAAAATATGACAGAGATGAGTTCATGAAATTATATTGCTAATTCTTCAGTATATAACATTAACTGAAGATGCAATAATAATAAGTGCTTGGATTTCGGAGCATTTGAAATACGTATATGAAAGTATTTACAAAAATTGGAAATTAAAATAGATTAAAAATACTTCTTAAATTATGATTTTGAGGTAAATAACTTGAAATACACTTCACCAATTTTTCTCGGAGGGGGAGTTTTTTGATCAGGTAATGGTGCACAGTCCATCTGTTGTCCGCGAATGTGAAATCCTGGACGAGAGGTAGCTGCATCTGAATGAAATTCGAAGACAACATCTTGACCTTCAAAAGGTATTATACCTAAAAGTATTTAAAGTTATTTACACAAGTTTCACCCAGGCATTAAATGTTTTAAAAATGGAATGAAAATGGAATAAATATCGAAACTTTAATATGCCTGGCACGACTCCCTTACATTACTTATCAGAGAAAAAATATCTATATGAGAGTTCAATGCTGGCATATTTGCTCTAGTAACGTTAAGTCTTCTCATATCGTGGGTTCGATCCCATGCCGGCCGAAGACTCCCCTTGCAGTAAATGGAGACTGATGCACGTTAAATCTGCCGAGTCTCAAAGTCCTCCATGTTCTCATAGCAAATCAATACCTCTGGAGGTACTAATCCAGGAGTTTCCTTGTCTTCTGGATTGATTCAAAATTACTAGGCTATGGAGTTGAACATTAGTAGTCGTAAATCCAAAATTGGGTCGGCTGTTCAACGACGGATATAAAACAAAACAAAACAAAACAAAACAAAGCAAAACAAAGCAAAGCAAAGCAAAGCAAAGCAAAGCAAAACAAAACAAAACAAAACAAAACAAAACAAAACGAAAAAAAAAAATAAAATAAAATAAAATAAAATTAAATAAAAAGTCTTTTCAGATGATTTATAGTATCTCAGAATCTCAGATGAATTTGTGTGAGCCCTTGGTCTAATACTGAGGAAAAAGAAGAGATATATGTCCTCCTTGTTAGACGTCTAAACGTTAAATCAGCTTCTTAAAAGACGGACATTTTTGCTAGCACTGATGTTCTTACGTAATTTTCTGTGGCGCTTAGAAACTCTATTACAGTACAAAATGACTTTTTTGAAAGAAAAAGTAGCTACTAATTGCATCGTTTTCTTTAAAATCAAATTTCTGCGGGGCAAATTTTCACTCTTTCGCTATTACCTTAAAATATATTTTTACTAAGTAATGCATTTTAAACGCCTTGAATCCTTTTGAAGGGCCTTCATCAGGGCCCATAAAGGTATAGGACATATTTTAAAGTAGTAACAAGTCTATAGAAAATACATAGTTTAAAGTGCCATATTATTAATCAATAGAACTTATAAATACTCTTTGTAAGCTCAAAGAAATAAAATAACTCTATAAAATGATTGAAAAATCTATTGAAAAATCAATAGAAAAAAAAATTGAAAAAGCTATAGAAAAATCAGAACACACTAGCTGTTAATTTTTCCATATAATGGAAAACATTTATTTATCGGCCAAGCACAACTTAAAACAATAGTGAACATCAAAATTTTTTATTTATTAAAATCAGAAATATTTTGTCATTTGTTTATTCTAGAAAACTCTAGAAATTATGAATTTGAAAATCGGCAATCAGAAGAATTTCTATGTATTATCATAGTAGTCATAATTCAAAAAGTCAGAAATACGAAGAATATTTTAAGGTATGTGTGTTAGCAAGACAGCACTTCATCGGGGGACATTTCATCAGGGCACTTCAGCACTTCATCAGGGGACACACTGCCTTGATTTGATGAAGTGCTGTCTTGCTAACACACAGGAATAATAATTATTTGAGTAATGAAGACATTAATAAAAAAGATTGGATAAATTTATGTATTATAAACATTTTTGAAAATTGTCTCTTTCATGGTATTTATTTTTACAGACAAATTCAAGGTATCTCAATGGGAAATTGTTATTCAAGTGCATTTGCTAATATTTTCTTACATTTTTATGAACAAAAATTTTTGCAACCTAATTTATTAATTGGGTTTAGATTTATTGATGATTTAATTATTTTTGATTGTAACGATTTAGATTTAATTAAAGATATTTATCCTGAGAAACTAAATTTAATAAAGACAAATTCAGATGAAAATGGCGCTTATTTCTTAGATTTTGATATTAAACTTCATAACCCACCCTCAAAAAAAATTACTTGACTATAATTATTTTCGAGTCATCTGCATTTATTTTTTTACCCCACCTCACCTTAGAAAAAAATAACTTGACTATAATTATTTTCGATTCATATGCATTTATTTTTTTATCCCACCTCACTTTAAAAAAAAAATTACTTGACTATAATTATTTTCAAGTCGTATTTATTCCTTTACCCAAAGCATAAAAGGTATTTGGGATTAACTCTTAAATAATAGAGAAACTTTTGTTACCTGCAATAAATCAATTAATTTAAAAATGAATAGACAATAAAGGAATATTATTTAACCGATTTAACTGGAAAAATGTAATATTATTATTTTGATTAAAATAAAAAATGCTTACTCTTTTTAAAATGCTGAATGCTTAAATTTTTCAGTGGAGGAGATGACAGAAATTTTTTCAGAATTAACATAATAAAATTTTCCTCATATGCGCTTGATCTATTATTCTTTTTCTCATAAAAAAGTATCATTTGTGAACGAATAATATTGAAACATCGTTGTTTGCATGAAGTAAAAATTTAAAAAATGAATAAATATTAAAAATTTTTTAATAATGTATCGATTGCATTTTTTCCCGAATTTAAAATTGGACAAAAAACATTAGTTTGGGTATTATTACAGTTTGACAACAGATGGCAGCATCATAAGGTTTTGATTTTCTTCTCTTTATTAGTGTAGTCCTAGAAAATGTTTAAATTTCATAGGAAACTAAATATTCTTGAAAACTTCGGAAATTAAATATTCTTGAATTCTATTCGGAAATTAAATATTCTTTCATTCGGAAACTAAATATTCTTGAAAAAAATATTTTTTTAAAACTTTTTCTCCAAATAAAAGCTGCAAAAAAGAAACATTTGTACAATTTGAACTATTATAAATGATTTTATTTTTCATAAGTTCAATTATACACTTATTGTGATTTATTTCAAAATTCGTATATGCAATTTATATCCCGTGAAATTTTTCCTGCTTGCAATCTTGCAAAAATGCAAAGAAATTTTACCCAGTAATAATTATTCTAATATTTTTTTTAATTAAGATTAGGTTTTACTATTAATGAACCATGTATGCTTATAGAAAATACAATAAGTATGTAATGCTCTACGAGTGAAATTTTTCTTTTAAATAACTTCATGAAAAGATCGCTCATCTAAGCACTTTCAAGTACACAATTAAAATTTAAAATTTTTTTTTCGTATTTTTTTTAATATCATAATTTATCAGTAGCAAGTTCTAGTTTTAAATGTATAAACAAAATAGAACGCATTAAATTAATCACAATAAATTATTCTGTCGGCAGCTAATTACAAACGTTCGATTTTTCATCAAAAATTACCAAATGGTCCCCAAATTGCACCGTTGGGACAAAACAGGCCAGCCATGGCCCCATTTTTACCCATTATTGTAGACCTGACATGCCAGCTAGCATATGCTGTTGCTTATATTTAAAAATTTAAAACGTAAGTTAATTTTAGATAACAATAATCATGAAAAAAATCAATAACTTATAGTCAGAATGAAATTGAACGTGTAAACTGTAATTAACAATAGGAATTTTGTCCTGAAATCAAGTAATGTCCTCTATCGATATAAATATCTTCCTCGATGGATACTTTTGAAAAGAAAATTTCCTTGGACATAACAATATGTTGATATGATGAACTAATTAGTTAACAAACAGGGATTTTTTTAGCGTTATGCTTTTCTTCGAAGTTGAAGTCTCCTAACTATAAGAACTAAAACCTTTAAAATTTTCGAATGAAAAATAGTTTTGAGAGATATTTTTTAAAATTTGGAAGTGAAGTATAACTTTTTTAGTGAGAAAATATTTTTCTATCCAAGCTTATTATATTTTGAACCCACAACCATCGAATCACAAAATAATAAATAAGGGAAGTACATTCATAATGAAATGGTTTAGTTAGACAGGAACTGTTTCTTTCCTTTTAAAAATATTTTTTTAGAGAAAGGGGCCTTTGTACTGTTTGTCTAAGATAGGTACTCTGACCGCCACTATGTCTGCGGCAGTCTGGTGATATGGAAACAAGAAGAGGGCATTTTAGGGAGGCTAGCTTCGATGAAGAGGTCTCCTTTTCTCTCGCTGAAACCAGTCCTAAAGATGGACCCCGCACCCCTACTTAAAATAATCATACCTCGTTACCATAGTCACCGCCACAGCTCCAGACTAATGTCTGGCAGAGTACTAATCTTAGACAAACAGTAAACATTCCCACGGCAGCCTGTTTGTTGGTCAGGGTTGTTGGTATTGTATTCGGATCATGGATTTAGTGATTTGTGCGTGCATAGTTGTCTTCGATCATCGCCTAACGTACGTACCATAAGTTTTGGGACACCCTGTATATTCAAAAACAATAAACTGACTTACGCTTTAAGTTAGTTGGATATATTCCGCAAAGTTTCTCTTCTTGTACTTTAAGATAATCATATTGGCAACCATCACTGGCTTCAACATCAAACGTCAGAAAGGTCATTTCAATGGCGCAGACACCCGGATGTGCTTTTGAGACAGTATAGACGCACCTGAGGTGAGAATCATAATTATTGGGATGGTTGTCACTGCGAATCTCAAAGGTTGCTGTTGAGAAGTGCAAATCACATGGTTTGGAGGGTGGCACTGGTAGCTCAGTTGTGGCAGCTGAACAGTCGACTTGCTGAACACGAATCATGAATCCCGGCCTAGAAGTTCCTGAATCTGTATGGAATGTAAGCTGCTTCTCATAATCTTGGAATAAGTACGTTCCTGAAAAGTATTTTCAGAAAAGCACATTTAAAAGCATAAAACCAAATTTAAAATCTTGATGAACAGTGTGGTCCTTTATATATCCTAGAAAAAAAATTTGGATTAATTACTGAGTTATTTATTTGGCTCCTTTTGAAGTTGATGTATGCACTTTATTAATTTGAGTTTAGTTGACAGATCTATTTAAAATGGATCGAAATTTTACTCACATAAAAAAAAAATCTAATAATTTCATAATTGCTGCTATTTACAAAGAAATAAAAGTTTAAATATTTTCATTTTACGGTAGTTGGTAGAGTTCTTGAACTAATTAAAATTCTAAAATTTACAACCAGTTTAGACACATTTATGTTTTCTGGTCAATTGCCATAAATTAATGTGTTAAATTGTGTTTTTAGAAAGACAGCACGTAACACAAGAATTGGACGGATATCTTATTTTCATAAAGATAACACAATAATGAGTCCTTTTTTCTTTCCAGGAATGTATATAAATAAAGTCATTTAAAAAAGAAAGAAAATAAAAAGCTTACTTGTGGTATTTTCAATAAGACCACAAATTTTTTCTCCGTTTATAGATAGGTAATCATATTCACAATCGCTGCTTGATTCAACATCAAATTTTAAAAATTCCATTTCCAAACGACATATGTTTTCATCACTTCTCCTGATAATGTACCTAGGAAAACAAAAGAGCCATTTAGTTTCACTTACAAATTAAACTCAAGAGTATTAAAATCTAACAAAAATTAAAAAGTTACATTAAAACATTTACATATACTGGGTTTTCCAAAATTCGGCCTTTTATCACATTAAACATGTGATAAAAGGCATAAAGAGAGGCAAAACTTATTATAAAACATGAGGTTAGCAAACCTCGATGGGAAAGTTAAAATCGAAAAAAAGACAGGTTACGATGTCATGCTGAAAAACAACTACAAAAAATATTAAAAACTTTCTAATTAGAAAGCATTGATTTGTTTAGTCATTGCTAGAGTTGTTCAAAGTGGCACACGTTGATATCATTGCACATTCTACAACGTTGTAGAAATGATTCCTGAACTTGTTTGAAGATGCAATGTGTGCTTTTGATCACTGCATAAGTGACGACCATCCATGCTATGAGATCTCCCGGTGTCTCCACAAGCGTTATGTAAATTAGTGATTTAAAGTTACTCCATACGAAAGAACTCACATGAATTGAGATCCGGCGAACGCGGAGGCCATGCACTGAAAGCCGGGTGTCCTATCCACTTTTTTTGGAATTCGGCATGGTGGTGATTACGCACCTGAAGGGCATAAGGTTCATGCATGAGGTGCAGAGGTTCCATTATGCATAAGCTCATATTGCATTATGTCCGGAAAAACTTTGCAGCAAATCAGGGAGGGCATGTTACATAGAAACAGATTCAGAGCCGTCAAGCGTTTTTGGTTTGTGACCCCGTGTTCTGTGGTGTTCTGTGGTTGTAAAGATATTTTCAAGAAATGAGAATTATATTTGAATATATTTTATTACTTACATATATTACAGTATTTGTTTGCAATGGGTCTATGAATAGGTCCATTGTTTTTAATTATTTTTTTTAGTTCTTTCCTTTTAAGCATTAAAAATATATATTTTGGATATTGTAACGTACCTAAAGAATGATATTAAGGTTGCTCAAATAAATAGAATACTAGTGTAATAGCATCAGAATTACAGCATCCACAACACGGCAGTCATTTAGGGTTATAAAAGAAACTCTGCCCCACAGACTGCGTGCAAATGATAAACCAGTTGACATGTGAGCTCTTAAAGAGTGTATATAGGCGCTTAAAGAAATATGCCCTCAAAACAGAGCAATGCGTTGTAGTACGATTTTTCCAGGGAAATGGTTCACAATGCTCACAATGAGCTGTCGTTTAACGATAACCTAATATTTTTTTTTTGTTCAGGAACGAATGTTCTCTTTATTTATAGATATATGTAACCAAGTCTAGAATCCCAGTAAGACAACGAAATTATAACCTCGTTTTAATAATTCTACGATATACGAGTATATCATAAAATATATCACGACTTATTTTCTATCAGGCGTTTTCTCTTAACTTTCTAGGCACTGCAATGTTTATTGTACAGTTCCTCTACCAAAGTAACTGTACAGATACCATCAGTCGAATACTTCAATTATCCTTAGTAAATTTTTAGCAGCACGAAATTCGTTAGAGATCTCGTCAGTGTTTGTTTGTTTGACCTGGGTCTTGGTAGTTCCAATATTGATGTACTCCCTTTACAGAAACTTTTATTCCCCTTTATTCACAAGCCATTGTTCTACACAGAATTCGTCATAAAGAGCAATCATTCGACAATAAAGGTTCTCCCTTAGTACTAAAAATCATGCTACTACGTAATATACAGAGACCAGTCATTTTAACATGACATTACCTTCACTTTAAATGCTCTCATGAGACAGGGTCAATCAGTTTTACGCAATCTCTTGTGCACTTTTCTTAACTTATTTATAACTCTAATATATATGGACAATTTTCAATTATCTCTTATTAGGATAATGTTTAATATTTCTGTATTAGTATTCATACGAATCTGTTTAATGAAGCAACTTTATAATTCAGTTTTCAAGTAAAAGTATCATTTTTAAAAAAAAAGTAAACACTCAATGTAGAACTGTTTCACAGTTATAAAAATTGCTTCGTAGTGTCAGTAGAGATAGTAAAGACTATAGAGTGCAATACGTAAGATCATTGTTTAAAATTAAACAATTCAAATTTTTTAAATATAATTTTAGTTAAAATTCGAATATGAGTTTCTGTTTCGCATTCTTGATTCTTGGAAAGGTCTCAACGGCTATCAACAATTCTAAATAAGTAGTTTGCGTAACAATGGACAATTACAGTCAATTTAAAAAAAAATTTAATGCATTCAGAATCTCTCAAAACTCCCAGAAAACATTTTGTTTCTTTCGTAAGAAGGCTATTTATTTAGTTATTTTTAATCAAAAAACGCTTACTTCCGTTTTCACCAGAAACGGGGAGTGACGTGATTATTCACGAACTGACTTCACACGTGTCAATCTGCCGTTCACTTACAATCGCTGTGCTGTGAAAGCCAATACGTTCTTGCTTTCATTTGAATTTTCGTAATTTAATCCAACTATTTTAGATGGTCAATAATTCTCTGTATAAAAAATTGCACTTAATAAAAATGTGGGTTTAATATAACGTATTTTTATAATGTTTAATTAATACCCCTGAAACATTGTTAATAGTTGACAAAATTTTCCAGCTCTGAATATTTAAGAATTTTTTAGCTCAATAAAAAAAAGTGTGCGGTATTGCTTATTAAATGATGCGTTATAAATATAAAATGACTTCGTTTTTTTCATTTTTTTTCTCATTTTTTTAACCATATTAATCTTTGTGTACTTTAAATTCATTTTGAAGATTTATTTTCATCTTAAATGAAAGAAATGTTGGATCAATTTTTTATGTAGAATTAATAGTTTTATATTTAAAAATGTAGGAAAGCTTAAGTTATTGATAATTTTTATTTATTTATTCTAGCGTAAATTCAAAGCATGTAATTGTATTCATAGCAGTAGCCTCTTATAAAAAACTTGTGATCCCAGCAAAACTTTAAATTAATTCCTTCAACAAATAAAAAATTAAAGTTAAAAGAAACAAAATTTATATATTCCAGTAGATTTTACTAACTTTATTTTAATTGCCTTAATCTATGTTATAAGAGTATTTGAAATCAAGCATATGCACTTATTTAGTTCTTTATTACAGAAACAGGAATTAAATTTTATAAATGTATGTAAAAATAATTTTCGGCCATAACAAAGTTTCTATTTACTCAAAGAATAAAAATATTGAGAAAAAATATCAACATTACTGTTTATTTTTAAATTATTTAATAAATAATAAAGAATGTGCATTAGAATTTCTTTCCATTTTGTATAAGTTAATTTATTATTATTGTTCTTTAGCTTTAGTGAAACAAAAACTTCCAGCTTACTGATATTCTCTAAAAAATTTGGGAATTAATGAATTAATGAGATGTGAATAAATGAGAAATTAAGTGAAATTTTAAGTATGACTAGATTATGGTGATGATGATGGTCAGATATATTTCAATGGACTAGATTCTTGAAAGTGTTTAAGTTTTCGGCTATACCGAATGTTTAACTTGAGATTTTTTCAACTATTTTAATTAAATTTTTTTAACTAAAAATGTATAATGTATCAAATTTACTATTTTAGAATTCTTCATTGCAAGCACTGATAAATAGTTTGTAAAAATAACGAGGGAAATGAACAATAACCATACTTTGTAAATACTATATTGCAGAAAAAGGAATTAAAATTTATATCTCTCTATTCTAAAAAAAAGTTTTTGCAGTTAATTTTGTCCCCTGAAAAACTTTTTAACTACGTGATGAAAATCTAAGATTAAGGAATCAATTCATTCAGAATCTTTCAGGGAAGACATTTAGGGCATTCAAATCTTTTACATAATTTTAAATTTTTATTTATTTTAGTTTTAAAGCACGATTTTGCAGTTAATAATGAAGAATAACCGCCGTTCACAACAGCCAATCACATGTCTGAAAACGGCAAGCTTAAAAAAGCGATTTACAAGTCTGAATTTTCTTTTTCAGAGATGCAACCAATCACAAAATAGTTAGAATTTCATTCTTCAGTTTTACAACATCTCAACTTATTTCGTATTGATATATTGATTAATCTGATTATTTGTTTTCTAAAACGTTAATTCGTAAGTTTAATCTGGTTTTAAATCTTAATTCGATTTGTTTATTTACAAGTAATGCCTAAAAAGAAAAGACCTAACATTACTAAAAAGTCGCAACTCAATGCGAAAGCTAATCGAAAGCGGGAAAAACGTAAACTTCATAGTATAGAAGAAAATAATGCTCTTTTGCTTATACAACCTAATGATGATTCAACTAACAAAAAAAAAGTTAAACTAACAAAGGTTGAGCTAAAAGAGAATGTGTGTAATTGCTACACAGTCGCAACAACATCGACTTTCATTTGCCCACATCAAACCAGACCTGTAAATACAGAAAATGTGGTTGGAATGCACACTGTACCAATTCGCTTTCGCAATGTTGACAATGATATGGACCAAAATCCTAATCCACCTATTTTAAAATCAAAACAACATGAGTTTGCTGGTGATTTATCGAAATTGTTACCTATCAAAGTGGCAAAACATAGTCTTGGCAAAATGTTTTCAAAATGCAGTTATTGTGGAGCTTTGAGATTTGCTTCTGCAAAAGGGCGCTCTGTTAATTCTTGCTGCCATAATGATAACATACATATACCTCCGCTGCATGAATATCCTTTATTTTTGAAAAACTTACTTCTTTCTGATGAGCAAGAAGCAAAATTATTTAGGCAAAATATCCGTGTATACAATTCATCATTTGCGTTTGCCACTTTTAGTGCTAAATTTCTTCAAGATGAAAGCAGAGGTCCACCGTTGATAAAAATTCAAGGACAAGTATATCACCATGCGACAACATCCCTAAATTCAGCAACCAATGCTCCAAGGAATGGACAAATATATATTTATGACAGTGTTGAGGAGGCTATTAAACTACGCATGAATTTAGACAATCTTCAGTTGNATATATATATATATATATATATTGAATTAAATGTGTTAAAAATATATTCATTTCTTTGGGACAAAGTCTGTATTATTGTGATTATCATTTTTTTTAAACAAGTTTCATATTAAGATTATATCTGCACATTGATGTTAATTTCTGACAATTTTGGCTCATTTAGAGAACAAATAGGACATAGAAGGAACTGTAGTCAACGAAAAAAAGTGACATTGATATTGACACACTGCTTATTCTGCATTTAAGAAAATTAATTCTTTTCGATGATAACAGTTAATATTCAGTTTAATATTGAAATATATGAAATCAAAGCATTCTTGGTTTTGCGAAGCAAACCAAGCAAGAATTGCGAAGCAATTCTCCGGGGGTTGGCGAGCGTCAGCGAGCAGGGGGCGGAGCCCTCTAGTATTTAAAAATAAAAATAATTTCTAACTGTAACAAAATTCCTATTTACGTAAGGAATAATAAATTTAAGCGTTAATGTGTATTTAAATATTTAATACATAGTAAAAAAAAGATGGCATAAACTGCATTAGTAAATATTTACTTAAAAAGGAAATCCTTCAACTCTGGTAATAAATAAAAGAAGCAACATTAAATTACATTATTTGAATTCTTGAACATTAGCCCATAGTATGTAAAGATGATGGACTGATATTTTTCAGTGGACTCGATTTATGAAAATACTGATTTGTTTTAATGCAATAACGGATTATAAAATCATCCTTCCTATATCTAAATGTATACTATTTCTATCCAATCTGCGATTTATTTTAATTAAGTAATTAAGCTGTAATGGAGCATTATTTTAATTTAGAAGAAAGTGGAATAAAATAGTATTTTCTATGAACTTTAACATCACGGATTTCTTCCGAAAAGAAATGTTGTTTCGCTGTAAAGCGCTGCATAATCATTTATTCAGATATTTTAGTGATAAATAACAGCGTTTCAAGTTTTAAAATTTTTCTTTCATTTTGCACACTCTCTTAAAACCGTAAATTGAATTCACAAAATTTTTACTAATAATTCACAAAGGATGTTCAGGCGATATACGTGATATCAAAACTAAAAGATCATTGAAATAGCCTTAGCAGATGGAGACGGCACGTTTCCATTCAGCACATGTGACGTCATAACCAATCAGAGATCGTTTTTGATGGCATCTCTTACGGAGGCCTTTTGGGGTAATTTAAATGTTTATTAACTAAATAGATTAACATTTGCCGAAAAAAAACAATCAGTTTTTCGGTTTCAGGAGAGAATTTCCTCTAAGTTAGGTATATAAAAAAGAATTATGATATGCTGTAATTGTCCATTGTGTCAACGAAAAATAAATGCTAGATCCTTAAAAATCTCAATTTCACAACAGTTATTCTGTTTTAAAAGTAATCATATTGTTTCACTGAGAGACGCGATGGCACAGGGGATAGAGCGTTCGCCTTCCAATGAGATGAACTGGGTCCGAATCCCAGCAATGACTGGTCGATAATAATTCCGCATCCTGCTTGCACCGATCACAGTGCTAACATGAAATATCCTTAGTGGCAGACGGATCATGGGTTAGAGTCCCCTTGACGTCAGGCTAACCGTGGGAGGTTCTCGTAATCTTCTCTATGTAACGCCAATGCGAGTTAGTGCCAACAAAAAATATCCTTTATGAAGGAAAGTTCTCTCAATACTGAATCCAGGAGTTCCCTTGTCTTGTGAATTGGGTTCAAAATTACAAGGCTACGTAGTTGAACATTAGTAGTCTTAAACCCAAAAATTGTGTCTGCTGTTCAACGATGGTTATAAAAAAATGTGATCTCTGATAAAAGTAGTGAATAAGTGCAAAATATAAATGCTGGATAATAGATCCTTTCCCTCTATAACTCGGACGCGAATTGATTAACCATTTATTGGTAACTTATTACACAGTATTTTGATTGAAATATTTGTAATCTGAGCTATTTTATTACATATCTGCCTAACAATTTCGTTCGAAAACTGAAACAACATGAACTTTTAATGATGTTACTTTTAACGAGTCATTCATTTACCTGCACAGAAGGCCATTATCGTAGTCACTGGGATAATTAGGGCTAGCAAGAATGAAATGTTTGCTATCAAATACTTGATCACATGATGTTGACGAAACGGCTGTTGTAGTTGTTGGACATTCTCGCTGCTTTAATGTCACTTCAAACCCTCTGTCGTTAACTGTACTATCAGAATGGAAATGCACAGTAATCATTTCTGTCTTGAAGGAGAAAATTCCTGCAAATAGAGTTACACATTTTTAATAGTGCGTTTTTACTTCAATTTAAAGAATTTGGTACTTGAGTTGGTGAGATTAATAGTTTTGAAGTTATAAGGGTTCTCTTATTAATTAGCGCATTTCAAGGATAGTACTTTCTTTATTCTGTTCCATCTTTTTTTCATCTCAACTTTTTATATATTAGTGTTTTTTAATCTTGATTGGTTTAATTTGATTAAGCAAAACAAATACACAGGAAACAATACCTCACTTGTCCGTATAGCAATGTAGGATACGCTTATACACAAGAGCAAGTACAAAATTTTACTTTTTGTGCATCTTTTAACTTCTAAACTTTTTAAATAATCGTTTCGGAATTCATATCATTTAGTTCAACTTAAACAAAAAATGCATCAAAAAACATATATTACATGTTCAAATAGATAACAAAGGAAAAAGTATACTATAATATGACAAAAATAGCTCTTTTTGAACATTAAACACTTGCAATTTCTGAACTATTTGTTCTACTGACTTGTGTATAGTTTCATTCTGTTCAGCATAAAAAATACATCGACACATTGCAGCTTTTGTTTAGATAGCAATGCTAGATCTGTAAACCAATACAAGTACAAAAATGCACCTTTTGTTTATAAAATCCTTATAACTTTCAAAGTATTAGTCCGATTGTCTCAAGATTGGTCTCATTCAGTTCGCTCACGTAACAATCACTCATAAGCAATCACTCAAAAACGTAAACAATCACTCACTTTCCTGGCTAGAAGAAATTCCATTTCCCCCCTCAAGTCACCCCCTTTTCCTCACAAAAGGGAAGTGTGCAGATTAGAGAAGAGAGTATTCAGATATATGAATATTATAACAAAGCCTTCTATGAAAAAGATCTAAATAAATTTTTCCTTAGAAAAATTCTAATTTTATTGGACTATATAATTGGTCGTGGTATTTAAATAACTGAGTATGAAAAAGCCGTCAAATTTAGCTATAAAAAGATTCATTTGACAAAACCATATAAAAGACTGTTGTAGCCTGAATGGTTTTGCAGCGAAGATAGTTTGCAGAATACAGCAAATTATACATTTCTATCTACTTTCGTTTTTCTTTTATTGATTTTCTTAAATTTCCGGTAAATATTTGACCATATGAATACTTACTTTTATTTCCTGCTGTAGTGCTACCACAAAATCTATGGCCATCTACTTCAAGGTAATCAAATTGACAGCTTTCTCCGACTTGGATATGGAGGCTGTGGATTGTAATTTCTAACTCACAATATCTGGGATCTGCTCTCAGCACCATCCATCTGCAATCAACATCAGCTGGATAAGGTTCTGGAAATTTGGGACTCCGAATCGAATCTTCGACACTCGTGATGGTTCGGTCACAATCTCCAGCAGCTTGTGCCTTTCGCTGTTTATTTGTGTCATTTGTGGCCGTGTCATTGCAATCTCTCTGCACGGCTGAAATGTGAAAGCCTTTGTCACCTTTAGATGAATCTGTTTCGAAATGGGCTATGATTTCTTCTTTTTCTCCAAATGAGTATGTTCCTAAAATAGAATGTTCCGCATTATTGAAGTTATTTGAGATACGCTTTGTTTAGACATTATAAAAGATATGTTATGAATATTTAGAGATATTGTAAATTAAATATTTTTTTGTTCTTATATACTGTATGATAATTAATTTTCTATTTAAAATATATCTCGGATTGTCATGGGACCAAGATTTCAGGATCGTTTTTGAATAAAGGTTGAAGAGGCTGTAATCATGCAATATTTTGCCTAAACCCTATATAGAAATTATACAACTTATTCGATCTCTTATAACCATTTCACAGCTCATACTGCGCCTACATAGTCTGCTCGAGTTTCAGCAACTTTCTTTCCTTGATCGGATTTATATTTTATAAAAAAAATCTATCAACTTCTATTGGATAAAAATATAGGTATTTCAATATTAGTCTCTTAGTGAACGTTCCTCCAGGACTTCTGTTCAAAAGAAAATTATTGCATGGGTTCAGCGTTTAACTGAAGTTGAAAATACTTTAGTTGCGTGATATTTTAGGCACAATAACCTCCGACCTGATATTTTATGAGTAAAAGCTGTTAGTCCTGGATTCATTAAATGCTGAATTCTAAATTAATGCATTCTTCGTCAGTTAACCTAATAAAGCATCGAATTTTAAGTTTTTACAATCACAGAAATAGTTGTATCGCCATAGCTGACTCATATAACGCCATCACTGGTCGTAGTTCTGTTTCCATAATTCATTACATTGCTTTTGAAATTAAAAAAAAGTTGTACTTTGTGTAATAAGAAACTATTTTGATTTCCTTATGTTGGCTACTAATTTTCTTTTAAAATATGTTATGGGATAAGTTCTTGTTTTTTTCTTAATAAGGAGTACCAACTCGCTCCACTATGTGAGTAACGTTTATCTGTGATAGCAAAATTTAAGTTAGAATGTATGATTCTCAGTTTAATAAATTTGTTTTCACAGTGATTTTGTCCTCTACTACAAGCTAATTTCTTAAATGCCAGTGGAAAATACTACTACGATCAAATTATCCTGAGATAAAGCTTTTGAAGTAATGTCAAAATTGACCAAACTTCAGGAAGCTTTAGTTTTTTAATTTTTACCACTTTAATGACTTTGTTGGACATGTAAGGGATGCCATCCTGCTATATACTGATGTTCTTAGCCATATTAACCATAGACATATAATTTCTCTGAGCTTTAGACCAATCTTGTTTCAGGAGAGATATGGCACCTGTGTCATCCAGAATTTTATGTAAATAATAAAACAAAAATAATAATAAGAGAAAGTTGAAACAAACTTGTCATTCCACTTTCAATTGTGCCGCAAAGACGTTCTTCAGCAATATGAAGAAAATCATTTTCACAGACTTCACCTTCCTGCAACTGAAAGTCCAAAATGGTAACGACTAGATCACACACAGAAGGAGAAGCTTTTAATATTCTGTATTGGCAGTTAAGATCATCTCCATAGGCATCAGTTGGATAACGGGGACTTTTCAATTCGAATTCAGTCTTGCTGCAAAAAAAAAAGAGAATGATTTATAAAATCCCCACCATTTTAAAGCAATCAACATGTTAAGGCTTAGTTCTCCATTAAAAACCCAATATCACGCCAATGCCACGCCAAAAACATGAAATTTCTATTTTGGCAACTGACAGATTCGTATTTTAATGCCTTCAACATAGTGACACTTCACAATTTTCAGCAAGCTATTGTAGAACATTTAGAGGAAAAAATTCATAGAGGGAATTGTATGTTTATTTGTTTGAAAAGATATTTCAATATTCGACGTTTTTTTTAATAATAAATGACACTTGATTTTATTAAATGCGCTAAAATATCATTCAACACGGCTCAGCTTGCCATTTAATTCTACAATTTTACGAAACCATTTCTTTTAGAGAAAGTATATTTCAAAATTCATTTTATTTAGTTAAGTTATCTTGTTTATTTTTCGATCCCCGAAATAAGAAATGGACGGTTTGTTTTTATAATTCTTTAATTTGTAACTGAAAAAAAAAGATTTCTAAGCTAAATTACTTTGTTTCCAAAGAGCATTCTTCCTGTGGACTGGCCAACGAACGTGGATCACACTCTTCTTGTTGAACGTGAGCAAAAAAACCTGAACCGGATACACTGGAATCTGAATAGAAAGAAAGCATCTTTTCCGCTCCTTGAAATGGAAATGTTTCTGAAATAAAGAAATCAGATTGATTGATCAGTTTGCAGTTTAATATAGCAAGACATATTTTTGCAGAGATTCGAAACAGAATTGACACCCGGTGTCTGAGTGGTCGCGCTCAGGTTCCACAGGTTCTGGATTAGATCCTCGAGCCGGGCTAGGTTAACTCACCCTTTCATCCCTTCAGTGGGTCGATAAATGAGTACCAAGCATGCTTGGGAACTAAACACTGGGGGTTCCGCGTTTGGCTGATCGCCTAACGGGAACGCTCCTGCGCCCCAGAGCCCAAGGTCAAGAAAACTGAGATGGGCACAGTTGGCCTTGGCTCTCTATGGGCTGTCGCGCCGCTGAGTTTAGTTTAGTTTAGTTAGATACAGAATTAGTAGTTACTCATTTAGTCATTGGCATTTAGCGTCATGTTGGATAATTGGATTTGGTTATGTAATTAAACACAGTTGTTGCCTGTCTTTTCTTTTTGAGCAATAAACTTTGGCTTCAAGGCCACCAATGAAATTAGCCAACGTTAACCAACGTCAAAGCCAACGTTAGATATTAGCATTTTTTCAAGACAAACTTATAGTATTTATAGATAAAAAAATTTTGAAGTCATTATTTTTAAATAAAACTTTAAACATTGCTTCAAAAAAAGAAGAGTTTTATTTACATTAATTTATTTATTCTTTATTTTGCTTCGCAAAACTAGTGTTACATAATGAGATAAATTTTTTTACAAATATACGTGAAAGGATGAATAGAAAAGAAACATTTTTTACACTCCTTGGAAAGGAAATGCGTCTGAAAAAAACCCAGATCGACTTATTTTGCAATTCGATAATAAGACATATCTTTGCAGACATTAGATACAGGATTAGTAGTTGCTCATTTAACTATTTACATTTAGTTTCATGTTAGACAATTGGATTTGTTGTGTAACTAAGCACAGATGTTGCCTGTCTTTTCTTCTTGAATAATAAACCTTTAATCATTGCTTCGAAACCGAAATTTTTTTTTCTGCAAAACTAGTTTTGTATTCAGATATTAACTTGTATTTTTTCGTTCACAAATATAAGTGAAAATGAAACTTTTATAATTTATGGAATAAAAATTTATGGAAGTCATATTATTTTCCTAATTTTTTTTTGCTATTATTATCATCATAGGTCTACCTGCAAGAATTACATATTCTAGGAAACTAATCACAGTTTTTAATCATTTGTATATTATGGCATTAGACAAATGGTTTTGAAATGCAATAAAATACAATTACTGCATACAATGAAACAAATGGTCTTCGTGTGCCTTTTTAATGAATACTTTTTCTTTTCATTTTTCCTTGTTTTTTGTTTCAGAATAATGAAAGTTCGACGATCTTCCTTTCAAAACCATTGCATGTTGCAATACAAAACTAGTTTTTGATTTTGAATCTTTTAAATTTATTTTGCATTCTAATATTTATTTTTTGCTTCCTCAATTTAAAATGAAAAAAACATTTATTGGAACAGTTAATATGCTAAATTTCTTTACTTCCTACCAATATTGCAAGTGTATTTAACTCAAAAAAGAATTTCGGAAAAATTTAACTCGGAAGCTGCTGACCAGAAGAATTCTATATAAATAGCTAACAGAAGAATTTTTCCGCACATCTCTTTCGACAAATAAATAAATAAATTAAACTACCATTATAATATTTTTAAAACATATAATTATGCCAAACAACAAGACTTCAAAACTCATAAACACAAATTACCCATCTACTTTTATTACTTTCATGTCATTTACAGTCATTTTCCCTTTTTTCTAAATTCTCTCGCATAATTTGTTTAATGTTATTAGTTCCTGGAATTAAATCTTAGAAAAGTTCTCGTTCGATGATGAGAGAAACTACCTCCTAAAACATACGTACAATCATCGAAGCATCAAATGAAAATCTTACCTTGGCTAAGCAACCTTTAGATTGCCCATCAAAATGGAGTTCTTTCGGGCCATTGATTTCGTTAAATAAATGACGTGTGAGGTGCGTTTCATTCTAAATGAAAAGAACAATTTGTTCACGAGTACTTCCCAAAACCCAGAAAACACAAAGTTATGAATGTAACCGCATATTTTCAAAACCATCTTTTAACAATCCGCTGCGCGTCGGTGAGCATGATAAACAGAGAAAGTTTCTGGTTTCGTTTTTTATCAAAATAGAAGGTTTCGCCGAGTTTCGTCTAAAAGAGAAAGTTTTGTTTATTTAGGTGGAATGTGTTTTTTCTTCTGTTGAAGATATTTTGCAATTATAAATAAAATATAATAGATCATCATATGTACTAAAATCCAGCGTATAAGAAGCAAAGTGACAGTCAGGATGTACGTCCCCTGTAATCCGGTTGTTGAACTATATGTATGGTTATCTCATGGGTTGGTTATGGTTATCATGCACGTTTAAGTACGGTAAATCTATATACATTATTCAGTCACATTAATGTGACCACTACCTACTTTCGACGTCAACGTGAAATAACCAATCACAGAAGGCAGGTAGCAGCATATTACAGTGGAGTGTATATAAAGGATGTCCTAGGGCATAGGAGAGCATTTCAATTGCTGGCGTAATGCAGAAACGTAGCGATTTATCCGACGTCCAAAAAGGCAGGATTATTGACTTTCGGCCAAGGGTAGAAGAATTTCGGAAACTGCTAATTTTGTGTACTGTTCGCGTGCCGCCGTGGTAAAAGTATACCGTGCATGGCAAAATGGCACTATCCAAAATAAGCGGTTTGGCACGTGTGGTGCACCACGAGCTATAGATGACAGAAGCGAACGAAGGCTATGGAGATGCGTTCGGGCGAATAGACGTGCAACTGTTGAGCAACTGACCGCCCAGATGAACCAAGGGGCTACCAAGAGTAAGCCTAATTGACTCTCTTCCCGCACGCCTCGCAGCTGTCCGCTCTGCCAAAGGTGGTTATTTTGGCTTTTGACAGGTGGTCACATTAACGTGACTGGACTGTATATATGATTTCGTACGCTGTTTCCCTCCAACCGCAATCATTTTCTTCCTTTCTATCTCAAAATATGTTGCAGATTTAATCAACATGGAAGATATAAAGGTATTCTCATAGAAATATCTTCATTAATAGTACAGTACTGTATATAAATAGTGAAAAAATGGAGAACAAACCAACAATAAATAAGAAGATAAAGTTTTTTAACTCCTCCCCATCCCCAGTAGGGCCTTCTCCCCCTATGTATATTCTTTTTCAAGGTGACATTTCTCGGTAAGTAAAATTTTAATCCTGTTGATGTGCCTTAACTCCCCTAGAAGTTTACATTATGGCTATCGAGGCTAGCCTTCTTCCCCTATGTATATTTTTTGGCATGGTGGCTTTTCCGGGTATGCACAATTTTAATCCTGTTGTTGTGCCCTAACTCCCCTAGAAGATTTTACAACATTTATATGAATTTTACGTAACATTACATTTGTGCATCCCCTATTGTATATAATGGGTTAAACTTTTCAACGAAAAATAGACTGAGAATGTCATTTTTAAATAAAAACTGCAGTTTGGAGAGAAAAATCAGAATGATTGATCGCAGATTTGAAATCAGAGATACAAAAGTATCTAAGATCTGTTAAAAAAAAACAAACCTTACAGAACAAAATAAGAAATTTGTTCACCAGTTTTAGTAAAACAAAAGTTACTTACGGGTTGTAGCGTCTTCCAGTTTACCACAGAATTTACGATCATCCACTTTGAAATAATCATTTTTGCAGTTGACACTTTCCTCTAAACTAAAAGTAGCGAAAGTAACTTTCAAGGCGCATACTCGTTTACTTGATCTGAGCACTCTGTACGTGCAGTTGGAGTTGTCGCTATAATTACCGGGATAATCAGGACTGCGAATGAAAAATTCTTTTTGGTCGAATGTTCTACTACATGAAAACTCAGGAACTGAAAAATAAGATATGGATATTAAATAATAAATGAAGTCACTATTAAAGTTTTATTAGGTTTCAATTTATTAACTCGCTTTTCAATCAGCGAGAGTGGTACCTTACAATTGAAACTTTAAACCTCTTATGATTAGCCAGATCACTGAAATTTATATTGGAGCTTTCCGACTACCTACACCCATCAAGTTTTAATTGCTTCCTTTCCAGTAAAAGCAGATGTTATAGCAATTTTAATGCCAATTAGATTTATCTTCAATCCAAATCCTGACTTCTTTTCAAATCGCCAGAGTTCTTAGATTTCAAATAGAGTAATGAGCCGTATGCTACTACAAATTATATTAAATAATTAGTGTCCAAATTATCTCCATTTTACAGCCAATTGAAATTTCACCCTTTTCCTGAACTGGCGAATTTTTTACTTATAACAGTTATGCATATATTTTTTATTTAATGTTTATATTTATTAATAACGATTTTGACCACCACTCCATATAAAAAAGGATTAATAAATATCCATACATGTTTGCAGTATTTTTTAAGCACAGTAAATGTTTGCATAGTTGATATAATTCCTGCTTACAACTGCAACATCAATTGAAACATCAATCTCTACCATAAAAGTTAATCGTAACCAGAAAGCGTAAAAAACGGCAAAAAATATTTTAAAAATTGATTACTATTAATGCAGTTGTTAAAAAACTACTTAAAACTAGTTGATCAAAAAAAAATAGCAGATTACAAATTGTCGATTTAAAATAAATAAAATTTAATTTCTATCAAACCAACGATGAAAGACGTACATAGTTAGAATTTTCATTCTAAAATTAACGTAAAATAACCGGCAACAGTCTCTCCATTCAATTAATCATCCATTATATTTTTTTACTTTTATCGTTTTGAAACCTTTCACAATTAGTATGGTTAAAAAAAAGTAAATACAAGTCTATACAGTTTTGTAACTATTTACAATTAGCATGGTTTTAAAACCGCAAAAATATAATTTAACTAGACATTGGATTTGAGTAATATTAGGTTTGTCGCTAGGTAATAGATTTTGGATTTAGGTTGCGGTTGAGTTGGGTTTTGCAAAATGAGCCCTGGAACTAAACTTAATTAGTTTAACTGCTAGTGTCATCTATCATGAGAGGTGGGAAATACTCGACTTTTTGTAATAAGCAGCTCTGTGTTGCTACTATCTATGCGTGAAAGAGAGTTTCGTATCCTAATATACCAGGGTCACTAATTAGAGAGTGCAGGACATTGGAAACTCTTTACGTGTTAAAGAAATGGAAAAAATATTGTGTTGTCAACGCTGGGATTCGAACCCCCCTCCCGTTCAGCCAGTTAAGTGATCAACAGATGAGCCCTCTCGACAATAGTATGCACACAGCTGCAAGGAACAGAGTGGTTTCATAAGTTGTGTTTAGTTGGTACAAATAAAAGTTTTAATGTTTAACCGCATTAGGTGAAAACAGTCAAGAAATAATTTTTCTCACGTTTAACAGTTTGAATACCACACTTTCTTTATGTTTATATGACTATTTTGGTTTAATATGGCAAAATATCAATTAAATAAATTGTTATTTAATGATTTTTTTCACGAGAAATTTCTAACAATGTGGAGTACATCACATTTGAAAAGCACGGTGAGAATTTTCGGCGGCAAAAGAAATAGATGCATCCTGCCTTTTTCGATTTAAGTCTGCCAAAAATAAAAAAAGAATTTTATTTTATTTTTCCTTCATGAACTAACTTGTTTCGCAGTTCTTCGTTGACCCCTTGCTGCCTGTTCTGAACGCATGACAATATTATCTGAAATCCATAACGGAAGTTTTGAAACCACTCACGAACTAAGATAATATCCAGACCAAGTTCAAATTGAGGGATTATAAGTCTTGTGTTGGCTCTCCGCTCTACCGTTGTCCCTAAAATAATATATAAAGAGCAAATTGGCTGGGAGTTGTTCCGACAACATGAAATTACCCCTTTGCGGGACCACAATATCATTCACCGTCACGAACTTATTTCTTCCCCTTTCAGTGTTATTATAGTGTGATATTAAAAGAATATTAAGTTCAACTTTCGTAGAACTATAACTTTGCAGTTGAAACTTATATGCATTTGAATGATCTACAATTTTGCTTAATGTTAAAAAAAAAACGGTACACTATTTGATTATAATAAAATAAGTTATATTTTACAATTTTATAAATAATCAAAAAAACATAAGTCAATTGTTATAATTATAGGTAAAAATAAAATTATTTGAATGTTACAACTACACTTTGAAATAAAACTAGTTAAATGATACAATTATACACTATTTAATTATTATAAAATAAGTTAAATGTTACAGTTTTATACGTAATCAAAAAGACTTAAGTCAATTGTTATAGGCGTAAATAAAGTCATTTAAGTGTTAGGACATTGGAATAAAATTAGTTAAATGATACAATTATACATTGTACTATAATTTGTTAAATATTGCAATTAGACATTGTAATAAGATTAGTTTATACTCGCAATTATACATTGTAATAAAATAAGTTAAATGTTGTTATTATAGGTAATAATAAAATAAGTTAAATGATATAATTATAGGTTATAATAAAATTAATCAAGTGTTACAATCATGCATTGTAATAAAATTAGTTAAATGTTACAATTATACATTGTAATAAAATAAGTTAAATGTTCTAATTATAGGTTATAATTAAATTAGTTAAATGTTCTAATTATAGGTTATAATTAAATTAGTTAAATGTTACAATTATAAATTGTAATAAAATTAGTTAAATATTACAATTATACGCTGTAATTAAAATTAGTAAAATGTTACAATTATACATTGCAACAAAGTATGTCAAATGTTACAATTATACATTATAATAAAATAAGTGTCACAATTAAAAATTTAGTTCAATGTTTCCAGATTTAACATTTTAAGTGCATTTTTTTTCAATTCAGCTAAAACTTCAGCTATTGTGATTATATTATAGGTAAAGTGATCGAATATTTACATGAGCATAATATAAATATAAGTATAAAATGAGTTTTTTTTCTTCAAAGAAACGCATAGCCAGAAAAAAAGTAAAAATACAATTTTATTTACTTATGTTCTGTAAAATGATACTTATTTAATTAAATTAATTTCTTAATTTAATCATGAATTTTCAATTTAACTTATGATTATTATGTTTTTTTTTAAAATTTCTATTGATTTCTTCTCTAAACTATTGCTATTTCATTAATTCCTCTTTAATAGCAATTTGAAAAATATATTAAGGGTGATGTTATTGAAATATTTCCAGAAGATTGGTGTTTATTTTAAAGAGCTTTTATTATTAAAGAAGCGTATTAGAATACGTGAAAGAGAGAAAAATGTTTGGACATTTATTTAAAATCTTTTATGTAAGAAAACTGAGAGAGTTCCCATGATCAAGTCAACAGATACTGAAAAGTGCTGTTGCCAAAATATCCAACTTTTTGAATGATTTATCAAGGAAATTAAACATCATAATAGTCCCTATTTGAAAAATTAAGGCTAAGTTTGGAATGGAATTTCTGAGTAAACCAAGGCATAACAAGGGCCATTGATAATTATTTTTCTTTATTTCAAATATTCAACTTATATTAGTTCAAAATGTTACAGACATTACCGTATTTTAGACTATTAGTATTCCATTGGTAAATTATTCTAAATTACTTTTTAATAAGTGGTATCAAATAATGGTCATTATTCAGAAACAATTGAAAGCACTTATTCGCACTTTGCTACAATGAATCGTTATATTTAATTTATCCAACTTACTTCCTTTATTACCATCGAATATTTAATTCTACGGAATAGTTATACCAAACAGGATGAGAAAGGCGTGCTCTTACCTTTAGCTTCAGGAGTGCAGATAGTGATCTGACGAATCCTGATATCGAACCCTGATCTGGTGTTTTGATTGTCGCTAACGAACCTTATAGTTGTGTCATTTTCAGCAAACATAAAGACTCCTGCCAAAGACATTAAGGGTTCAAGTTAGATTACTTTCATTAGAATGCACTTCCGGAATATATTATTCACTTCAGAAGAGAAAATAAATGAAATAAATAAGTTCAGTTGAATAGAAAAAAAGTGGATTAAAAGAACGTAAAAGAATTGACTTAACGATTCTAAACAAAACAATTCTAAATAGAATTTGTAGAATGTAGAAGTAGGATTAATTAAAGAGAATTCAATATTGGTCCTTTTCGAACAAACCAATTTGGATACATATATAACTTTTTGTAAACAAAAGTATTTCTTCTGTTCACTACTATGAACATACACTCCAACTATTCGAAAATTTCCTTAGTTTCAGAAAAGAGTTTTTCCTCGTGGTAGCAAAAGTAATATATTAATATTTTATTAAATTAGAATTAAGAGAATTTTGTCTATTACTACATATGAACGATAATCAGGTATATATAATCAGGTATATCAGGAAGATCCGCTAATCTCAAACCAGTGAGACAGGAAAGACACATGCGACTAAAAATGCAAAAAATGGTAACTCTTTTTTTATTTCAATTTATGTAATCTATTCAATTTTAAAATCGTAACTTCCCTCATTTACATTGCAAATTATTCATATTTAAAACAAAAACTTTCTTTTCATTCATTTTGAATACTAAACTGAAAGAAACATGCTTGAAAATTTAGCTAAATTTAATCTCTATGAATAAATTTGTGCTTTTTATTATACACCACATTTTACATTTTTAGTCACCCGTGGGATCCCAGTTAAGATTAATCAGATCAGTAAGTTAAGTTAGAAAAAATGTTAGGTTCTCCTGTTTCTATAAAAGCAATCTAAAGTTTGTCTTCAAAATTTCAACTTTAGTTAACTACTAACGGGAAAAAATATTTTTTCAAGTATATTTCGCAATATTTTGGTGAGCATGACCAGAGATTCCAACTGCTTTGGATTCGACAAATTGTTTTAAGGAACCTTAGAGGACTACAAACGAAAATTTGCAGATTTCGGTTAATATTGTACACTTTTTAAAAGGCTCATCTGTAACAAACTGTAACAAACATGCGTATCACGTAAGCCTTACAATTAGTTAGAGGTAGTGATGAGTAAAAACCATATAAATTTAAATTACTAAACCAAAAATCATACATTACAAGACTAACATTAAAAAATATTTATCCGCTGACCAGAGCAAGTTGGCATCTCTGGATATGACTATGAGAGGTATTTTCAAGTGTCACGATAAAAATTATTTTTTAATAAAACCAATTTTTTTTTGCATAGAAGAGAACGTAAGTACCAAAAAATGGCCATTCTGAGTTCTTTGTGTGGGTTAAATGTATTGAAAATACTTTTGGACATATTTATTTTTGATAGCCATGCGAATAGCTTTTATTTGAGATTTAGACTATTAACTTTTGAGAACAAACACCGAAGATATAGACAAAAGTGCAATAAATAAATAAAGGATCCTGGAAATTATTGTTTTTGGACAAATTGTACTGGTGGAAAACGGCCTCTCTCCAAGAAAGGCATTCTTTTCTAAAAAGCAATCAAAATTTGGTGGGGGCTCTAAGTTTTTGTCATTGCATGAAGCTGCCCCTGAGTGTCTTTTATAAATAAATAGTATTAGATAACAGCACAGTACGCAGAAGTATCTTATCTCCTTCATTGAAACCATTGTACCTTAATTAACTAACTGTAAAAAATGGCGAAGTTACTAAACATTAAGAACTAAAACCTTTAAAATAATGCTGAACAGTGTCTGTTTTTTTTGTAACAGTCCATCCAAATGCAAAATATTCGCTTTGCATTCGCTGTTATTGAACCCGTTTAGCAACCTTACTTCGACAATTTAAAAAAATAAGTAATTTTAATGTTACGACCGGACCTGGTCAGGTCACGTAATCTAGTGCAAAAGTGCCTCGACCTGACTAAAAGCGTTACTAGTCAACCTGGTTTGGTTATCAAAGTTGCTATGATGTTAAAATTTTTTTAAATGATGGAAAAAAGCTGCTTTAATTAATTTTTATCCACACAAAAAAAACTTTAAAGAAAATATTAATGTGTACAAAAAGCTTAAGGAATGTAATGCTCAAGTGGAAGCTAAATTTAAACAACTTGAGAAGCCTTAACAGCAATTTTCTAACCACATTTTGATTTTTTTTCTGGATATAGTCAATTTTTTTTTTTACTTCATATTCGACGTTGAACACCCACCCATCTTTGGGTTTGTGGCAATCAATTTTCAACTCCATAGTCTGGTAAATTTACACTCAGCCCTGAAGACAAAAGAACTCCTGGATCAATCATAAAAATTATTACATTCTATGTATACGAACATCACAGTGATTGTAAATGAATAAATTATGTTTGAATATTGATCTGGATTTGTATATTTTTTATTAATATTTCTAAGTTATGTCATTATTTTTACATTTCTTAAATTACTTCAAATTTATCATCTCCATACGCCAATGTAATTAATATTGGAATGTTTCCTTAATTAGAGATTGGGGGTTGACCAATCCGATATTTGTCTACTTTTTTAGATAAATTTTTATTTGTGAAAGTATTTCATTTCTAAATAGTAAAATAATTTCAAAATACATAGTAATAAGAATTTGCTTCAGCCTAAAATTGAAATTCCGTCTTATTTTCTCTTTAAAACATTAGCGGTACTAACTCTATAGCATCTGTTGGTGCTTTAACGAATGAAATGCAAAAACAATTTTAATTTAACATATATCAACTTGAAGAAAGAAAAAACTTTTATATGAAAGAAAATATTTTTAAAGCACCAAAAAGTAGAGAAAGTTAGCATCATTATTAAATATTTATAAACAAAAGAGAAGATAATTTAAATCAAATTCATATAAATCAAATTATAATTTAATTATTTAAATCTATAAAAATTAAAAAAAAATATTTTTATTTTAGATGTGTTATGTAAAATATATTTATGTATATTACATAACACATCTAAAATAAGAATAGTTTTTTTAATTTTTATAGATTTAAATAATTAAATTATAATTTGATTAATATAAATTTGATTTAAATTATCTTCTCCTCCTGTTTTTATAAATATTTAATGATGATGCTAATTTTGTCTGCTTTTTGGCGCTTTAAAAATACTTAATAATGGTGCAACCTTACCCTGATTTTTAGCACTAAAAAATAACAAATCATGGTGCAATCTTCCTCCACTTTTACTTCCCTTCAAAACACTTATTTTTGGTGCAACCTTTCGCTGGTTTTAGGTTCTCTCAAAATACCCATTTTGGGTGCAACCTTCTCGCGCTGTTCGGAGTTAGTGAAAGCACCAATATATAGTAAAACTGAGCACCACTTTATGCAGCCAACAAATGAATACCAATGCTTGGCGCAATATAGCTCGAAATTTTTCACAGTGTACTAAATTCTTAATATATTAGTATAACTTTTCCAGCGTTTTTTGCTTTCGCAAGAACTGCTCTGTTCATACGTTTATTATTATAATATGTACTCACGCACAGCTCCGTCCGCAATTTTTCCGCACAATCTGCTCCCATCTACTTGTAGATAATCATAAGTACAGTTGTCACTTGGCTCCAAGTCAAATCCTTGAAACGTCAATTCTAGTCCACATACATTCTTTGACATCCTCAGGATTTTCCAATCGCATTGTTGATTGGAGGGATATTGTACGGGATATCCTGGACTTTTGAGAGAAAACTCAGATCCCATCAACATTCCACCACAGTTTGAATCTGTATATATATAAATTTTAATTTCAGTAAAATAGGACGAAATAAATTGAAATATGAAAAAAAAGTAAAAACAAATGCATTAATTGAAATGAAAAATAAACTAAATATAATTATATGTCTTGTTCACATATTTTGAAGTAATATGTAATATTTGGAAGTAATATTAGTAGTATGTAAATAAAATAGAATTAAATTGTTACATTTAAATTTGAAACAGTTCAAATGTTTGATAGAAATGACAGCTTGCTTTTCTTTGTGGGGAATAATATTTTAGTGGTAGCAAAGTTTATACATTAATATTGGTTTAGAAAATTTCATTAGGATTGATTTTGCCGACTACTATACATAAATAGTTAAGACATTTATATATAATGGCATTTACAAGTCAGCCAACTTAAACGCATTTTTCCGAAAAGTTTATTTTCATAAAGTGGCAGTAAAATTTATGCTTTCTTTTTATTTCGCCAAAATTTTAAAAGTGTCACCCCAACTACACTGGTCAAAGTAGCTTGTTACATAAACTTTTGAATTTTTCAAGTGAAGAGGTGTAAAAAATAATTTTAAATCAAATTTATTAAATAAAGAGTGACAAATTAAAACATAAAATTTGCTACCACTGTAAATTTTTTTTTACAAAGTGCAGAAAATTGGCAGCTACATAAACTAAAAATTTTATTTCTGCTTATGACTGTAATGCAATTTTAATTTTACTATCGCTTAGGAAAATCTCCCTCGATAACATAAAAAGTAGGTAGGCATGCATTTAGTTTTAGTTAGTTTGTTGTAAGAATTTTAGTTATTATCAGAACTGAGTCTGCAAAATTTCGAGTCTAATTTTCTACCTCTAAATAAAATATTTTGTCCAAATTGGAGCAGTTGGCATCCCTGTGCACCTAAGGTTTTTGTTGTTTTTAATTTGTCCCCAAACTTTCGTGTTTCGAGAAAAAGTGCAAAATTATTGTGTTAAATTAAGATGGTATTTTTATCTAACCACTATCACTTTAGTTTTTTCGAAAATTACTGTATTAAAACTGTTTTGAGCATGTTTAAAACAACTTGAGTACATTCGGAAAAACTTCATTATTAGAAACAGGATAAATTAGTATTGTAAAATCCTATACTCATAGCTGCCAACGAAATTTATCTGAGAGCCTGAGGCCATCTACGGCCTTATTCCCATTTCTCTTAAAGTTTTAACTTTAAGGTGGTACTTTCCGGTAACCGAAATTGGAGTGATGCTCATAGTTACCACCATTTACCAATTTCTCTTAACCTTTTTTTTTTTTATTAAAAGCGATAGCAAAGTTTGTGCTTTTTCATTTCAAATCTTGAATTTATAAATTTAATTTATAATGACTTTGACCAGCGCTACATATAAATAAATGATTGTTGCTGTTGTCGTAGGCCATTAATGCAAAGATTGTTCTTGTTTTCCAGTGGCACCAAATATAGCTAAGAATTCGACTTCTGCCATACTCATACGTCACACCCGTTTATAGGGCGGACCTATTCATAAATCCTTACATTCTTTCACAGATTGTATTTTTGACCTGAATCAGCAAACAAGCAATCTCCAATGCAGTATTCCCACAGGTATAATTTGTTATGTGGACAGGGAGGACTTTGTGTCACGGCAGATGTAACATAGAAAAAGCATAAATAAGAATCCTGAAAATTATGCCTGACAAGTGGAAAAGTTTGGCGAAATTTAAAAAAAAATTGCTCAAAGCTTTAATGTTTTTACTCTGGTGTTCAACTACTTATATAAAAATTCTTTAGCAAATATCGTTAAAGTTATCAGCTAAGCGTTAACCCTTCACTGTGGTCCGTTTCCAAACCAAGTTGACATTGGATTTTTCCCCTAACTCCTTTATAATTTAGCATTGAAAACTGTTTTGTACCTGTGAAAAGGTGTTTACTTTATGGAAAATTAATTAGTCACCAACATGCTCTAGTTTCAATGTTGAAGCACGTGCTGTTTTCCTGTAGTTTCATTATTTTAGCGCCTACTGCCATTTTGGCAAGAGGGAAAATTAATTTGTTGTTTATTATTATAATTTGAAGCTTCAGTCATTTCATTTCTTATATTTCAGTTTTTATTTTTATTTTTGATGATTTTGTGTTTATTATTGCAAAGATTCGATTGTTCAAGTTGGGTATCTGGAAATTTATAAAATTGTACCACTTACTAATACCAGCCAGCCTACCTGGTGAAACCAAGCGAATTTAAGGCAGAGGGCGTGTTTCTTGTTTTTCAGTGGCGCTATCTATGGCCAAGAATGCGACTTCAGTCACACACTCGTCATAACCCGTTTACAGGGTGGATACATGCATGCATCTACCCATTCATCCACAGATCGTAAATTTGACCTGAACCAAAGAACGATCAATCTCCAGTTCAGTACCCCCAGAGGTGTAATTTGTTGTGGGAACATGGAAGACTTTGTGACCATACAGATTCAGCTTGCACCAGGGGAGTCTTCGGCCGGCTGGATTCGAGCCTTCATGAGGACAGTAATTCAAGTTCGCGAGGACGGGAAACTCACGTTCGTGACGACGGGTCACTTGATTTTTCACTAACAACTTAATAAAACTATTTCCATCTACCATATCAATTTGAAGCTAAATGGGTGTGTTTTGCAGTGTTTAGTATGGAAGTTAATTTATCAATGTATGCCTTAATCCTTTTCGATGAAGTGTAGCCAGTCTCACAATATTAATTCAACAAATGTTACAAACCATTAGAAATGTAACACTAAATGCTTTTAAGCGTTTAAGATGTATTATTCTTTAAACTACAAAGAGTACTATATGTCGCTTCATTTGAAATGTATTGCCTAAAGTCAAAGTTGCTTATGTCCTGCCTGACTAACATTTCCAATCGAAATTGTCTATTCCGGAAATATTTAAAGGAAATATGAATAAAAAATTAACGCATTCTTTAAAATTATAGGAAAAAACTTTAATGAAAGTACATTCTTATCATGCAAATTATATAAAAATTGACGTTTCATTTTATCTAAAATTACTTATAAAAACCTTCCACACAAGAGGTTTTATGTTAATTTTATTAACTGAATAATACTGTGAAATGTTTTTTTTTTGTAAGTAAAAGAATATATGACTTGCAAAACTAATTATGTAGTAAACCATGGAATAGAATAAACATTTTTCGCAACTTTTATGTAAACAATAGAGGTTCGAGAACAATGCGGGAATAACAAAGGGCAAGCATACGTTTCGTGTGTTCTTTTTCATTATCATTTAATGGTTGTTCTAAGAAATTAAGAAATATTAACCTAAATGAGAAATATACCGTTCTCGGTTAATAAATGTTTTTAGTCGTTTTTAAAATTTTTTAAATTTTATGAACAATTAACAAACGCCAATGTATTTCCTGTTGCGAATGCTTTTATTGAGGTATTATTTGCCAGCATATTTGAGATAGGAGTCAGTACTATTTCTCAATTTTATTTGTTTATTTTTTGTGGAAAGAAAAGGAAAATGATAATTTTTGATGATGAAATAATTATGCATTTCTTAATAACAGAACAACTAGTTTAATAGTTTGACTTTAAATTATTTCAGTGTTGGTTTCATTCAATTAATTTAATTTCTTATTAAGACCAAAAATGTTTTGCACTCTAAAAATGGATACTAAAATAATGCACCAAAATAATTAAAAATGGTATGTCTCAAGTATTTAGCACCATCAGCTTTGATAATAATCAAAAAATTGTTTTGAATTTAAACAGAGTTCCCGCAATCCTTAAAATTTTTAATATAAATTTCATTTTTTAAGTTTCCACTTTATTTAGTGGTCTGGTAGGGCATGGTTTTTATATAGATATATGCTTTTTTTGAAAAAACCAACATTTAATTGGGTACATAATTGGGGGTAACAATTAATTAGGTACTAATTTCAAAATATTTAATAAGGGGCCTAAGGTCCATATCTGTCTTGATCAACCCCCACTTGCTCATTGAAGTTTAGTACCAACAACGAAACATTCAGGCTAATAGTCTTCCTGTTTTGGAATTAGGAACAGGTTCCAAAACTGGATCTTTCGAGTTTAGACAATAAGCATAATTTTCTTTAATTTATGTTAAACGAGTGAGATTATTGTTTTTAGAAAAACTCAAATTAACCGAAAACTAATTAAACTAACCAAATTAACCAATGAATTACTTTTTAAAATGCTCTAGGGATTCAAGTCTAAACAAATGTTATTTCAATGAACCCAATGTTTTCTTAAAAGGCCGATGAATTTTGGTGAATTTCACAGGAAGAATAATATTCTAAAGATAAGGTCAAAATCAAGAGGAATTTCTCTACCCACCCATGTAAAGAAAGTAAGTATTGGAGAGAGCGCCATAAAAGAAATCAATTTTCCTGATCACTCAACTGTGTCACAAAAATATCAGGACAGCATTATCAAAATACCTGACCTCACGTGTTTGGTGAAAGCTTTTTCCGCCTTCAAAATGTATAACACGGCTGCAGGGCGTTTCTTAAGGAAACATTGGTTTTTATCATTTAAAAATTCATTTTTCATAAAGATGTAATTTCAACCTTTTTTTTTTCGAAAAAAATTTACTTAACCCATTCCCTGTCAAGAGGAGCGTAAAAGCAAAATTTTGTAGAGGAAAAAAAAACTGGCGTTATGAAAAAAGTTGAAAGATCAATTATGTCTAAAATAATTGGATATTTTTATATTATATATTTCCAATGTCCACCTGGATAATCAGGGACTGCTCTAGAAATGCGGAGTCCCTAGGCACAGAACTGTCAGGGGCCCTCCTGATTATTACTTGAAAAATAATTTAAAAGTTGTCAGATTACGAAGCGTTTTTAAATTATTAATAACATAAGTAAATTACAATAAATTAGTAACTTTTAGCTTATATTTATTTCAGTTTTTTTTTACCTCATAGTTTTAATAGGTAATTCTTAAGGAAAAACATAGAAAAAAGTATTTGTATCATTTAGGGGCCCCCAG